ATGGCCAAGCCAAAACCAGGGAGCTGTGTGTAAAATTTAAATGAGCAGCCAGTCAGCCAGCCAGCCAACTATCCATGGCTTTTGCTAGTTGGCTAGAAGGGTCTGAGTCGGGGCTTAGCGATGAGCTTCACAAACTGTTGGCAGGCAGGCAGCAATTTGCTGCTTTCGTTCGGGGTTTTCCATAGCATTCCAGTACGCTTATCAGAGCACATTAGGTGAGAATTGTGTCACCTAATTAGCGTAAATGAATCAAAGAGTCAAACGAAGGCAGTTAGCAGTTGGCAGCCAGCTCCAAAGAAAACTCAAATGTCTGCGGCGTAATCCATACCAATCTCGTTTTCGAAACGTGACAACACAGAGTCACAAAATGAGGCATTTGAAGCCTTTCGGTCCAATTTCGAGCGTCACTAAAGAGACAGTCGGAGGCTTAAAAAAAAGTAAGGAAATTTAAATAGACTTTACAGACGAAAAGTCTTAGGTGTGCGAGTTTTAATTGGTTCAACTTACAAAAAAAGGATTAATAACAGAAGTAGTACCATTTTATAACATGGAGCTTACTGAAGTTAAAAAACCAAGTGTTTAGACAATCAACTTTTTTATGATTAAGTAGACAAACCTTAGACCCAGACTGTTAATTAAGATAGAATGTCTGAGAGGCTGAATACAGAAATACCATTCTGAAGCTATTTATAGTTATTAAATGATTTGTAAGCCAAAAAAGGTAAAAGCAAAATAGCGGAGGCCGAACAGAACATTTTTCTTCGGAATTATAAAGATATCTAGACCGAAATGGAAACAACCGAGCCGAACCGAACCAGATTAAAAGCTGGACAAGTGCAAGTCCGTCTGTCAATGTCATTACAAGCAAATCCAAACGGTGGCATTTAAAGTCTTTTACTTTCTGATGACCATTCTTGGATTTTCTTTTTATTGTTCCTATTATGATTGCCATTACCATTATGATTTCTGTGTTAAGCCCGACAGCAGGCAGCACTACGCCACATGCCAATCTGTACTTAGAACGTGAGCAGATGACGTTGCGATGATTGTAATAATGAAGATGGTCCACTGGAAGATGGAGATGACAGTTGACCATTTGTCGCACTATTGAGCACACAAAACAGCGAAGACAAAAACAACTTTCACCAAGCTTAGAACATCTGACATCTTTCAGTTCTCGCGGTTGTCGCAAAAATTGCTTTCTTTCTTAAGAAAGCCTACCCGATATAATTGAGATAAAAGGAATTCCGAAACTAAGAAGTTCCCCGACATAAATCATTCACTTCCCTAGGCCCAAAACTACTTTATTAAACCTCAGGTTGAGTAGTTAATTAAGAAAAAGCCCAGTACAGCCCAATCCAAAGTTAAGAATTGCATCATTTATCTGGATAAAATTTCTGTTTTTGGGTCACGGCTGCGTTTGGCTTGGAAACCCAAAGGCAAGAGCACCATCAGCATTCCTCGAATTTTGCTTCGAGGAGATACATTAAATTTCTGTGTGGACACTCGGCAAATTTCGCATCTTCGAAGTGCAGGGCAGGTATTTCTTGTATTTCATAAAGGGCCCGCTTCTTTAAAGTCCCGACGGACATAAACAAATTACGGTAATCGGCTTTAATTAACGCTGCTTTTTATCTGGCCCTAAAGGTTTTGGGTTCCAAATTCGTTTAGCTTTTCATTTTATACCTTCAAAGGGGCGTTGAACCTGCTTCGGCAAAAGGCGTTGGACCAAAATTAATAAAAAAAAATTCTCACTGTTACCAATTTATGATTTTGCCTAAGAGATCTCGATCAACAATCGAACCCCTTTTGTTCGAGCTTGCGCTAAAAGTTCTCATTGTGGCCGGTTCGCGTTTGTTTCCAATTTGGAGTAAAGAAAATAGTACGTATGGCAATACGATTTCATGCTTTAAATATTTGGCCTCACAGACAATTGTTAATCAAGACAAAATGATAACAATCCACATGAAGTTTAACTTAGCACAAAGCATCTTTGAACCAAGCCGCCAAAAAAGAGCTTTGGCTGCTTTGCTTGTTTTTTGTTTTCTTAGCGCGAGCCAGTAGAAGAGACAGCGAAGAATAAGTAACGTGTCACACAAAAAACCGAGAATATAGCTTTGAAAATTGCAGGAAATAAACACTTTAGATAGAACTCTTTGTTTTTTGCTGTGCTGTTCCCAAAAATGTAGCCGAAAGCCGCGAGCAAACCATTTTAAGTGAGCCGCAAATGTTTACGACCTTTATGTTTTGCACAGGTAGCTAAATCTCTATGGAATTGAGAGCCCCTCCCAAAAGGATTGGTAAGTAAGTAACCCCGAGCAGCAGCAAATTGAATTGCTTTATGCTTACTTGTACAGGATCACGTCACGCCCCGAAATGTATAAGCATTATATGTTGACCTGATTAGCACCAACGGGCAAATATTGGACCTATTTGTTCTATATTTTACGAGCATATCTCTCCCATGTTGCTGTTTGCTTTTTAGTCATGATGAACTGCACCTGAGGCGACGTGGCATTTTAACGTTACGAAGTCGGCCAACATGATCGCATAAAATAAGCAAATAAATGCTTTAATACGATCGCTAACAAATCGCAGGCCCAAAGCGAAGGAACAGGCCCAGTTTATGGCCAAATGTTCGAGCCCTGGGACAAACAAAGCTGAAATAAAATTTTCTCAGCTAATATTTCACCCAGCCTGGGCATAATATTACGCCCAATTTGGCTGTGTAGTTGTACTTGGATCGTTTCGTTTGGTTTTCTTTGCCTTTTCGACTCGGCTGCCTCTTGTTAACAACCGTGCAGTTACAATGGGATAACGTTAGCTCTTGTTCTGTTTTGGGCCTCAAATTTGCCTGTGGGGTATACTAAACTAATAAAGAGCTAAGAAACTATAATAAGTAACTAAGAACAAATAAGCCAGGGATAAGTTTACTACTCTTTTGGATGTCCATACTAATGATAAAAAATTATGTCATAAGGATATTAACAAAAAATCATTGGACTAGAACTAATAAAACAAACTCTAACTTAAGAAACTGAAGAAAACATTGTTCATCGCAACTTTGGTGTTAATTATAATCCAAAAAATGCGTTGCCATGACCATAGGCATGAATAATAAACATTCATAAAAATCATTGAGAGTCTAATCCAGTGGTGATGATGAATTTATTATTGCCGCAAATATAGTAATAATAGTGCATTGGAGTTTCGGCTTGGCGTTTTGAACAAATTACGTGGCCAGCCTTTGTTTGCTTTTTGGCACATTTTCTTGGCTTGATGCAGCAGCAGCAACTTAATCAGCAGGCAGCGCTACGAAAACGTTAACGGATGCTGTTAGAATCTGCACAGTCTTCCACAAGAAGAAAGGCAGCGAAGAAGACGGAGACGGGGAGCAAATCTACCCAATAAACATAAAAATCCCATGGCTGCGGGCAGTGAGAGAAAGATTTTGCTAGCGCATAAACCCTAAATGAGCGAGAAAACTCTGAAAATGAGCAGTAATTAAAATCCGGTGGTTGTGGTATAAATAATAACGAAACAAAACGAAACGAAAGACTTAAGCAACGAGCTTGATGAGATAGATGAAGCATCTGCAGCTGTTTTCTGTGTTATTTTCGGAAATTGCTGTTTTCATTTTCGACCGAAAAACGAAAGCAGCAATAAAGAAGCCTTGATTCTCGCCAAATACTCGCCAAAATAACGAATGCACCTGATGGCAGTCACACCAATAACAAAAGCTACAGATACAGATCACCAAATCTTGGCAAATCAACGTGAATCATCATTAAGCAGCTGTCATTGTCACACGGTGAAATGCAAATTGCCTTTCTTACCCCCTTAGCCCCTCTCCTATCTGAAAATTTTCGGGCACATTCGAGCGCTTTGTGTAAACATTTCCGGCGACATTTGATTGCCGCTTTGCATGAGTTACAATTTGCGCTTCCTTGCGCGACATTTCTTTTAGCAATTGTCGCTTTGTGGACTTGGTTTTGAGTATGGATTTCTTTGATTTGGCTTTCTCCAGATCGTGATGATCGTCTCTGGTCTCATCAGTATGCAGAAGATCGTGCCGGGCTTTTGGCTTCAGTTACAGCTTCGTTGAAAGCGAAAGGTCTGCCGTCATTCAATACAATCCAATATCCGAATCTCAATTCGATCCCAAATAGATTCATTTTTCGGTGGCCTTTTGTGTCGATTGTTCTGTGATCGCTTGTGTTTACATTGGATGAGCGACGAATCGTTCAATTTATGAGCTTAACATGTTAATGGCTCAATAGAAATTTGCGCTGTAAGTATGTAACTTTCTTTGGCAGCTCGATTGATGGCTGTTTTGATTTTTTCTTCTGTTCTGCCGCACCTTTCTAATCAAGTTGACTTCGTTTTGGGCTCCTAATTCATTTAAACTGCGGTGCTGGACAGCTTTTATGGAGCATAAAACGCACGACAGTGCCTGGCTGACCACAAGACTGAGAACCGAACCACCCGATTCAGACTAGAAGTAATATCATAATTTTCATGTACCAATAACTCGACTAAGTGCGATCTCATGGGCAAAATTGATTTTCCCCCTTATTCTAGTTCTCCATCAAAGCCCTCCCCCTCCCCTTGTGAACTGATTTCAATTTAATTAATGATATTGAACGTCGTGTGTGCCCGTTTTGAACCTTCTCGGTTCTCGGTTCTGCCGGAGGATTTGGTAATCGAAATTATGAATGGACCATGCCACATTTGCCTCAGAAGAGATCAGCTAAAGCGAAGAGAGCCCGAGAAGAGCGTCTTCGTCTGGCCGAGTGAAATGCAAACAAAAGCCAGCACAAAGTACTCGCTTTTCCCCCAGAGAAACTCACTCAAACTCAAACTGAAACTCAAAACAAGAGTTTGGCTTTGAGTCTTTTGTGTTTGCGGCTCATTTCTTTGGCTTTCTTTGCGGGGCCGCTTTGTGTTGTGGCTTTCTTTTGAGCTCCATGGTCTACAGCAGTTTATAACGTTGCCCATTGTCAAGGCGAACGCACGCGAGCAGCGCAAAAGAAATATCAGCAGCAACTTCAGCCCAGAAGAACTCAAAACTCCTCCGAGAGCAACTTATATAACGACTGATTAGCCCAACGCTTACTTTAGTTATTCGGTCAACTCCCGACGGTCAAGTTCGCAGCGATCGCGACTTGACAAATAAAAGAAAAAATTCACAAAATATAATAAATCCGTGGCTTTGACAGGAACAACCAAAGTCAAGTGCAACATTCAATACCCACCAAATGTGCAATGTGTGTAATCAGCAAACAGTGATCATTTGCATACATGAAAAAAACTCATCTCGAAAGTGAAGCGTGACTCAGCATCGATAGCCAAAAATCTTGGAGGAACAAGACAATCCGAAAGGAAAGGATACTTTTCGGTCACTACTGAAACTACTCACGAAGTCACAGTTGCACGTTATTCTTGCTGAGTGAGTGTATATTAACTTTTACCATTTTACCATACACATGTAATGGGCAATGACAAAACAGAAATCCAGAAACAGTGATCGGCAAGAATTTGAATTCTTGTTCGAACAATCTGCTCTGGGAATAACCTTTAGTCGATTGATTACAGAATTTCCTGATCCTGGTAGAGTTCAAAATAAATAATTTAAGTGTTTTTAATAGCGGTTCACTTACCGGTATCTTTAAACATATTTTTATTGAAGGCTTTAACTCAAGTAAATTATTTCTTTTTCTAAAAAAAAAATCAAATCATTTTAACTAACATTCAAATTCTTGTCTACATTATATTTTGTTATATTTATTTTAGTGTATTAAAAAATAATTGTATTCAGCAAAAAAATACAAAAAGAATATGTAATAGTATTTTTTTGGCTAACAAAATATTATATTTAAAGGACTGGAGTGACGAGTCTTCTCTTGCTTTAGCATTCCTGTTGCAATCAACGATAATGTATACAGATTGTAATTGTGATGGCATCCATAACATTTGCATTAATTGGCAACGGATTCATTAAGTTACCATGTCTTGTGCTGTCTTTTATAGATCATCTAGAGTCCCCACAATTAAAAGCAAACACAAGTCGGGCAATTAAAATAATTAAGCTCCAGATGTGGTGTGAAATGCACAATGCAACGTGTCAGAAGAGCAGAACCCGCATCCAAAGAGTGTAGTATAAAAGATAATAGAACAGGACTGGGACTCTGATAAAAGGGCCATCTGATGATGAAGGCCCAGGTTAAAGCCAGAGAGCACAGATGAGACCACCGGTTGAAATGATCCATTGAAATTCAGCTACCGTGTTGTCTGGGGAGTTGGTATTTAAATTTGCCCGCAATAATTGCACTGGCCATCACTGGGCTTCGAAGTTCCATCTACCATCTACCATCAAGCCGAGGAAGCTAGGGAGTTGGCATCATCACGATGACATGACAGTTACAACACAGCCTTCTTTCGCCTGGCAGCTATTCATTTACTCAGCCTGCCAGTCGCCGTTGATTAGACGAAGCGTGCGCTTTAATTGCCGCCAAATGGGCAAAAAAGAAGAGAATCTCCAAGAGCCTTAGCCTTCGGCTTGGCAATTTGTCATGTACATTTAATATTCTGGGACCTGGACCTGGGCTTCCGTGCCTTGGAAAACAATTTACGTTTGTTTGTCCAGCTTGTTTGTTGCAGTTAGCGTTGATTAGCCTTCTGCAAAAAGTTCTCCCATTGCAATTACGAGCAAGCAACATCAAATGCCACAACACCAGGTAGCAAGTAGCCAGTAGAGCAGCTGTGCCTTAGAGCCATCTAGTTTCTAAAGCATCTAGCATCTAGCATCCACCATATAGCCACTCCCCACACACTTGGGTGTCAGCAAAGCAATTTCAAATGTCTGCTCAAGCGGATTTTATATGGACCCCCAGACCCACCGCATTTGGGCGTTCATTCTACTGTGAAATTGATAGATTTAATTTGACATTTGGCGCAAGTCCGCGCTTTTGATTTCTACCTTCACGGCTATATGGTTTTTTTTCTATTTCTATTCCCTCCAGTTTATAATTTACTTTTGCGGCTTGACAGTGGTCATCAATGGCTAACCAAGTTGTCGTCGAGAAGAAATCGAGAAATAGATTCTAAATAGCGAGATTGCGATTGTGCTGCTGATTGTCAGGCAGAAAAACCGCTTCCGTTTCAGTTTATCCAAGAAAATTGATTGATGGACCGCCGCTAGAGTTGTCATGGCCAAGAAATCTCTGCCAACCGCGACTATAAGCTTGCCATCTGAAAGCCTCATTTGGGTAAACGGTTTTACTGTTTGGTTTTTGGCGTGCCAAATTTCCATTTTTGTTTATTTGCGATTGTCAACTTTTGGGTCAGTTGGCTGTTGGGCCCGGCAATTAGCAGAGATTTAACCAACAATGGTCGACGGATGATGGGAAGTAACATAACTGTTTGGATTACTTTGCATTTGGGATTTTGGCACCTTTTGAGGCTAATGTCGCTTTATAATTTATACACAAGACGCAAAGAAATTGGGTTAAGAAATGATCGGAGGAAATTGGCTGATGATATCATCTAATGAGAGCAGCTTTCTACACATCAGATTTTCCCTAGAAGATTATCTAGCTGGCATAGTTTAGTACAGTTTATCCCATGATTTTTTGGTAGCTGTTTTGACAATGTGAAATATACTTATTAGGTAGAAGCTTAAGGATAGTAGCCATATCTCTAAAGGCTAATAACATGCTGCAACACAACCTGTCGTCCATCAAAATCTTAGCTTGTTTCGCTTGATTAGCTTTCATTGAAAAATGTCCGATTTGAAGACATGCAGTGTGGCTAATTTATTCAGAAGTGCTGCTCGAAATAATTTGCGATTGTGTGAAAGTATTTTGCTGCCGTTTTTGCTGTGGTAATATTTTAATTGAAAATTAATTGAAAAGTAAAAGACTTTCGCATGCAGTTGCAGCGTTGGCAGTTGCCAGAGGCTAAAATATCTGAGCCAAGTTCAGAGGCAGAGACATCGGACATTGACAATTGAGAGTTTCACTTTTCGCACACTCGAAATATCAATGAACCCAAAGTCAAATCGAAGACAATGGCAGGAGTTGGCATCGCCTCCTGCCGCCTGAAGGCAATACAAAAACCAAAAATACGAAATACGAAAGAAAAATGAACTCGAGGTGGGGATAAATGACACCAAAGTTTGGGCAAACGATTTCAGACAGAAGAAGCGTCCGTTGAAAATCAGCAAGAAATAATCGTTGAAGAATTTGACTTTCGCTTGTTTGGCTTCCTTGGCCATAAATAAAAACGTCCAAGCCCCTTCCTTCCCCCCAAAAAAAGCCTTGTGATTGTCGCCGATTAAATGCGCGAAAACGAAGCAGAGGAGGCCGAAAACGCTTTGGGTGCAACTCGAACCCATCTGGCACGACCAAATGGCAATCGCCATCGCAATGCCAATGCCAAGGCGTTTGTATTTGCTTAAACTTTGACATTTGCCAGCTGGCTGTGGCCGATGGATATGTGAATGCAGTGCCTCATACATATTTGTCTGACTGCCGCCAATGCCAGAAAGGAAAAGCGACAATTTCTGAACTGAGTGGAAAAGTAAAAGCATACTACAGGATGATGAGAATGGGACATCTGCTGACCAGAAAGAAAATTTAATCACCACAAAATAGTCAGCGATCACCAAATAGAGTAGAATAAATTAAATCATTAAGTTAATCGAAAAATAAACTGACAAAGATAAGTTTAGTCAAAAAGGTAACGAAATCTTTATTTAATAATGCTTACAGTTTAGAGATTAGGTGATTTATAACGAAGGATAACAAATTCATTTCATGCCGTCGGCCACAGCCATTACATTCATTAAACAAATGAACAGGAATAAACACGAAATAATAAAGTTGATTGGGACAATAATTAAATAAACATAACGACATCAATAAAGACAAGTGTAAGTCAATCAAGAGATTATATTCATAAAAAAATGAATGAATTCAGTAAATTTAAATTTACCTCTAATAAGTAATTAATTTACATAAGATAAGTTCCTTAAAATGGGTCCATACTCCGTTCAAGTCCTAGCCTTCTAAATATCCAATAAGTGACCCTTACCCAAGGTCACTGCAAACCGAGTAGCGCCTCTTTAGAGATAACCTCTGACTCGTGGCGAGGACTGCCCTCCCCCAAACCCTCTATAGAGTTTCTCCCCGTCCGTGTTTTCGCTTTCAAGACTTTCCGCGAAACCAAACAAATTTAATGACAATAATCCAATAAACGTTAAAGCCTGGGGATCGTGACAAAAATCTTGGCTGGGTGCACAAAAGAAAGCGCCGCAGACCGACCTACAGACCCCCCAAAACCCCTATAAGACCCATTTTTCTGTGAGGCGGAAAAAAGTCGGTGGATGCCATTGAATGCTGTTAACATTTTGACATTGCCTGCGTTTCAGATCGGGAGTGTACATAAAGAAGAGCCAAGAGATTGAAAGAAAAATTACACTAATAGGTTGAATTTTTGGTGTAAGTGGGTTGTTTTTTTTTCGTTTCTGTTTTTTGTTTTTTACCGGTACGAGAACGTGCCTGGCATTTTTTGGGCATTTCCATTGTGCTTGCCATGCATGCCTCTCCGCCTTTATGAACCACGAGCTTTTCTAGCCGCATCTACACCCGTTCAATGCCATTTTATTATTATTTCGTTGGCTGTTTTTTTCGGCCGACCTCAATAGAAAGTGTTACAGTTCAGTGTCTGTGAGGCTTAGGCTTCCGCCTGCCGTCGTACTTATTTTCTTTCATCGCCGCCAGCGGAAACCTCTTGTTAAACTTAAACTGCTGACGTCAGCGCTGAAGAGGGGGCAACTTGATACAGATCGAAAGTAAGAGTTTAAGATCTTGCAGAAATCTCGAGTTGATTAGAATGCTCGGCACTCCATCATCAAGACAATTTGCATTTTAAGACTGCCAAAAGAAAGTGGCCAAAAAGAAACGAGCATCGGGATCATCGTGCAATGCATATTTAATTGTGCAAATGTTTTCATTGCCAGTTGGCAGTTGGTAATTGGTAGAACACAGTGAAGATCGGCCAGGAACACACTTTTCGCTTGAGGATTTACATGAAGGAAGCTTCAAGCTGAGGGCTGCCAAATAAATGTGTATGGTTATACTTTAAAAACTTTGTTTTGATGATTTAAATCAATTAAAGTTCAATCGTATATATTTTAATGCATATCAAATGGTATCGCTGGTATCGGCTAAAAAATGTTTTATAAGTCTACCAAGAACTTTGTATTTTTGTTGTTCTTCAGTTGCTAGTTAAGTTATTTGGCTTTTGGCCATATTTAATTTCGTTGTTTATAGGCAAATTTTCACTGCCTCGGCTGGATTTGCAACCCCTGCCGCCTTCAACGAACAAACAACAAAAACCGCGATCGTCGACTAGGTCAACTTTCGCTAGCATGGAATGCGAAATGCAGCAGCAACGTTGCCACAACAACGACAACCACTGCCACAACACAGCACAACAACGACACTACTGTCAGCCAATAATAAAGTAAGAAGCTGGAGAAGAAGCTCTGGCTTTTTGCGGGGAAAACGAACGAAGTTCTCTGAGTGACTGAGACTCTGGCTAATAATACTTGGTTTACCAGGCCTGGCTTTTTTACTATTTATTTTTGTTGTTTTTTGTTTTTTGGTCGGGCCACGACGGCCTGGATTTCTTGGCTTCCTTCTTCTCTTCGCTTAAATAGTTGCAAATAAATTGTGTGGGTAGCGGTGGAAACTGGCAACAGCAAGTAAATTACTTCAATGTCACCTGCTGACGATTCAAACTCCAGATAAGCGCTCGACGTCAAGACGGATACACCATCCATTCCATCCGCTGCTGCTGCTGTCGTAGTAGAGCTGTAGATCTTCCTAAGTTTTCTCCTCTCTTTTAATGAAATTATCGCTGCATCTCATTGTTTGTTTGCCTTGCCTTGCCAGTGGTAAAAATTATTTATTTAGTTCTCGTTTTCACATTAAACGTTGTCACACTAAACTCAATTGCCGCAGATGCAGATGCCCAGATCTGTATCGCATCGCCTGTACTTTAAGTGGGTTTGTGGCTCAAAAACCGGCTCCATTGTTGTAAGCAAATATTTAACTAATTTGCATTTGTTTGCCTTACAGATACGACGAAGGAAGTAGACCCGATTTGAGAGGATTGAAGCCACGAGAGCAAACAGTTAAGGTATGTGCCAAATCAAATATGGCTAGGGGTTATGTCAAGTTCAGAGTGTCATTTCTTTCCCTCAGAATCGACAACGGAATGAGAATTCTATTTAAAAGCCGGCAGGATTTATGTGTACTTTTGTATTCCATCAAGTTAAGTCAAATTATTCATAGGGAAATTCACTGGAAACTCAATCGTTCTAAAGTTTTAACCCCTTAAGGCGGGGAGCGGAAGTTGGTTGTTACTTTTACAACGGGAACTATTTAAATATTCATCAAAATGAAGTGAGAACGATGAAACAGAACCGTAGAACCAGAAAAATTTAGTTTAATGGGGGAGCCAAGGTGGAAAATGGAAAACTGCAGTGCGGCACTTGTTCGGTCGTAAACTTTTATACGAACTGGGAGATCTTATCCTCTCTTCAATTGAGAGCCGTAATGGGTTTCAAATAAATTAAAGAAACCCATGGTTTTGGAAAGGAAGTTTGGATTTAGTGCGTTTAAAGTATTAAAAGAAGCCCGTAGTTAACATAATGAAGACTCAGGTGCAATTAATGCAGAGGTTCCCCGAATCGGTTGTCAACAAAGTGTAAATCGTTTAAGCCGAATTCAGCTACTGCATTCCAGTGCATATCATCGACCCAGTTTCGGGCTCTCCGCTTAAATAGCAAATAATGTGGCGTGGGTTGACTCTACACTCATGGGTATACATGTACCTCGCACCTGACTGACGTGCAGACACAGCATAAATTAGCTATCTATATAAAGCATTATGATCTGGTATAAGAATCAGGCAAGGCATAATTGTGCAATGAATATTGTTAGCCAAGAAGCCATGAATAGAGAGGGAGCCCAGTTCTGTTGCTGTTTCTGTTGCCGTTGAGTTGCATGCCGTTGGCCTGTTCCACTTTTGAGATGCAGCATTTTCGCGTTGTACGCTGCCTATCGGCAGATACAATTCCACGGCAGCGCGAATAAACTGAATAAATTGCACGCAGAGGACTAGACCAGCGGCTTTAATATTTATTGCGTTTTAAAGACGGATTCGAAATGGAAGCAGCCACAATCGCATCGCCACAAATGGCAAATGTGCCCCGAGTCATAAATCTTGGCCAGTGCAAATTATATAATGTGAGTCGTTCTATATATAAACGTGGCCAATTGGGCTACTGACTCTGTTTTTGGTGGTTATTTATGGGTCCATAGTCTCAGCTTCCTTTCCAAAAGGACTTGGTTTCTCTTCCTCTGGCAAATGGATGTAAAAAGCTACAGCAACAGAAACAGAAACACCTGAACCGGAAGTCCAGCTAAGATGCTGAGATATTGATTCTGATTGCCCGGCAGCAGCAAAAGATCAGCGGCCATCGAATGTGTGTAATGATGGTTAATAAATCAAACGGAGAATTACCTGGAATTCTGCAGACGGCAGCGGTTGTCTGTGGCGGCAGCGTTTGTCTGCTTCTGCCTCTGCCAGATTCTTCTCTCAGCTTTTTTCTGCCTTCCTGTCTTGGCCAATTCCACTCGCTGGATGCCAACAAATTAGCGCAGCGTCGGCAAAAGGCGAAATCATAAGGCTGTAAAAGCCAGTGGCCAGTGGCCAGTCATTCGGTCGGTCAGTCTATCAATCAGTCAATCCATCTGGCAAACAAACAAATCCCATTCCAGCGCCAAACTAAAATTGTTTCTGCTTCTGTTTGCTTAGGCCAGTGTCTTTTTGAGCAACACAAAACTTGTTTGTTTCCCGCGATGTTTGTTCGTTTGTTTGTTTGTTTGTTGTCTTAGCTGCCGTAAGCCGCTTTTAACCCCTTGAGTGCCATATATTTAAGTGCCTGCCATTCATCCTTTGGTCCGCCTGTACCTGTTGTGCATACAGAACTTGTTGACAAATGATTGGACGGAAAGGTATTTCAATCGCGACAAAAGGAATGGAAAATAGCATTGTGTAAATATGATTTCTAGTTGCAAGAGAGGGAAGGCTTTATAAAGCTATATCTAGCCTACAAAAGCTAAATTCCGAGATTGTATCAAAAACAAAACATATTTTAAGTGTTTTATTTTGTATCTGAATAAATAAAAGGTAATCATAAGAGATAAACCACCTTCCATTTTATAGAATACTATCACAAAAGCACAAACCAAAATAAATTGGCTATCTAAGTATTTAGTCGTCAACTCATCAATTGTGTTATCTCTAATGGGTTAATTGAATTTGTCGTCTGCCTCGTACCGCATTTAAATTGCACATTCTGTAAGCATTTCACGCCAAAACGCCAAATCGTCGAAAAGTCGCTCGCCAAATGGGTTAATGGCACATTCTAATCGGAGATATGGCTGAAAGTCGAGATCTTGGCCAGAATTCTAGCTTCGAGTCTAGATATTTAGATGGCAGCGGTTTTCCAGCAGCCAGACAGGCAACAATGTGAACGCAAATTGGCTTGAATGCAAAAAGCGTCGACAATTAGCTGCGCGGTCGGTTCAGTGGCAAAAGTGGTAAGGTGGCTCGGTGGTTCAGTGGTTCAGTGGCTTCTCCTGCATTTTCTGCAGTGGGTGGGTGGCTGTTGGCATATGCAGTTTACAGTTAGTTTGCGCCATGTTGACAGTTACGTGCGCCGACAGCTTCCACCTGCCACAGCGAACAAATGTTGCATAAATTAGCCAGCAAAACTGGAGCGACCAATTCACATTGTTGCTTGGCTGTTGGCAGTGGATGATGATGTTGATGCCACCATTCACAGCCTTTTGTACTTGCGTAATGCATTTTCACGCAATTTATAACCGTTTTTCCATCGAATCTGGGTCACACTGGGGAAGCCGGAAAAGACCCCCAACAGCAGGTGCAGCTTCAAAATTCTTGCAATTTGCATTTGATTGAGTCGTAAATTTGCAACGCACACATGGGTTGGTTAGTTGCCTGGTTGCTTGGTTGGTGGGTGAACAGCTAGCCGGGCATAAATCATACGACTGTGGGAGGCCCACAGACCGCCAAGCGACCTGGTTTCCAGTACAGGTCCAGTTTTCTGGCTCTCGATAATGATGATGCGACTTTGGCGTGCGCTTTTCAATTTGTTAAGATTTTTTACGGATAGTTTTTCCTCTTGTCGTTGTCGTCTCCCAGCAAGCCGTTTCCTTTTTCGGGGCTTTGTCGGGATTTATGTTTTAGCTGTCAGCGGTTTTTGGTTTTTGGTTATGAGGCGTCTCGGCCCCAAGAATTTCCCGAAAGAGAAAAGCCAGCGAGCCAGCGAGCCAGCGACACGTGCCGCCGCCTGAGCATTCGATTTCGAAAAACCACGCTTTTTCTGTTGTTTTTCGCCTGGCAGTTTCCATTTAATTTACGTCTGACCGGCTTTCTTTCACTTCTGCGTGCTTCTTTAAGCCAGTTTGCTAGAATTTCTAATAGCTGGCCGCCAGAGCAACTAGCATTCATTATTGTTTGCTTTTAAACGCTTTTTTATTGACTCGAATTAGCACTCAAGTAGAATTTGATGCCATCGGACAATGGAGCCGAAGAATGGCCAGGTGAAGGCCAGAATACTAGAATACTAGAATGTGGGCTGCTAGAAAGCGAAACGCACTTGGCCACACGTCCCAAAGAACTCTCTATTCTGCGGTGCGGTCCCTTCTTGGATTCTTTGCTTGCACTGGCCATAAAGTTCTGTTTGTCACGTAGTTCAAATAAAATGTGTTTTTATGATGTGATTAGTGGACGCTGTTGTGACGGACCTAAAACGTATCAACGACCGACAAAAAGTGAAAAGAATGTCAAGTGTTAATTGCCAGGCTTATGACCATAAACTGTTTTCTAGTGTTGTCTGCTCTGATGAAGATTAAGTTGTAGCCGGTGATGTGTGTTTTCCAAGAGACATGTTCGTGGTACTCCTTGGGTTGGTATTATCGCAAAGATATTTTATGTCATATGAACCATAAACGATTATGGATGACGGTTCTGGGATCTGAGTTTAACAGTAAAGGGTTTGAAAATTGTCTATTAAACACTTTTCATAGACAAATAAAATTATGTTTTATGTCATATGAACAAATTATGAGTATAAATGACCATCCTGGAATCTCAGTTTAATAGTGATGGTAAACGCTTTACTTAGAAGTAGATACTTATGTTGTATAATACAAAACAAGTTAAATTCTTATTCCTGGAGTTCTTGCTAAAGATTTCTGACTTTTCTTTATGAGCATCTTAGTGCCTGGTTTATGGTTCAACTCTGGCGAGTCTTCCAAATTTTCTGTATTTTACTGACCATTAATGATTTAAGATGGTCGTCAAACTGAATGGTGAAGGGTTTGGAAACTGTCAATCTAACTGATCTACAAAGCATACCACAGATCGTAGCTCAAACTAATCAAAATCAGCCGTCTCTGGCTAGAAGAATGCTACCCGTACATTGACTCTGCTTTCCATGCCAACTGTCGTTCTAGAGCCTTATCACAGGCATTTATCGAGTGGCTTTTGGCAGCAAACTTGTTCTGTATCGCACGAAGTTCCTTAAGCATTTCTGTGATACTTGTGCGAGAGCATTCTGAATGACATTATCTATAAGCTAAACAACGCAATTTGCATTGCTAAATGGCTGGGGATATATCCCGTCGATTCTAGGGGGAAAAAAACGCCCCGCATGGGCGGCCCAAACATAACTGAAATTCCTTTGCATGTCATGAGCATTTGTACGGGACTCCGTTACTCTGAATGTTAGATGTTAGATGGAGTTCGCTTCGATGCGGTGCGCTGAGATGTTCTTGCGGCCGTGGCCATGTATTTATGCGCTCTAAACATTGTTAGTTATGCAACAGGCAACAGGCTGCAACCAGTCCTCTCCACTTATGCAGCATGACAACAGAACAGAACAGAGAACACAAAGAAGACAACAATCATTGGCGGGCATCGATGATGGCAAGGCCTACATTTCAATGTCAGCTTGCCCAGTGCTACCAATCAAGTTGTTAACTATGCAAAAGTAGTAAATTGCGAAGCGGACAAAGCATCAGATCAGCACCACTTCGCCACTGCAGCACAATTGTTATGAAATGAACTTTAAATAACAATCAGCCAAGTGCCGTTAAATGAATGCGACATTGTTCTGCAGTTGCAGCAGCAGTTGCAGCTCCAAGCTGAGCAATATTAATTTGCGGTCTTAAGTTGAGGCTAAAATATTTGCATAATAAACGCCAACGCCTTGGCAAAGCCGGCTGTTTATCTCCGGTTACCGCTTGCCCATCGGCCAAAAGCGCATTCTCATAGTCAAAGCATTCTGATTTCCATCCCATTTTTATTAAAGGTGGTAAAGCTGATGGTGGTGCTGAGCCACTGCAGTCGCTCACCTCGTACATTTCCGAAAAGTAATGGCTCGGCCAACAGTGATAATTTATCACTGGCCAGCAGCCGGACATGCGGCAAAGCCGAACGGTACTTGCTTGGCCAACACAATGCCTGTTTCAGCCCGGTCTTTGGTCTTTGGTCTCCAGTCTCCAATCTACAGACTTCAGCGTGCAAGTCTTTGAACTGAATCGCCATTGTGCACCGGTCTCAATTTGTGCGCTCTCGGCCGACACAATCAAATTGATATTTGCTGCTATATTTAGTTTATGATAATGCCGTCGACTAGGCGACTTCAGTGCTAATATGCTGCTTCCTTCTAGTAGAGTATAGAGCACTCATTTCATGGCGGGCCACATTTATTATGCATGCTCAGGCTGTCTTACAGCTTACAATGCCTGCAGTCAGGTTCTTTGTTTTTGCACTGAGAAAGTGTTTTGTTTTTATGGCTGCAAAGTCAATTAGCATTTGGCATTTAGTTGGCATAAATTCAAATCGAACGATCTAAAATATTATGCCTTCTGTGGGAACCTGCATACGAAACTAGAGAAATTTTTATTGAATATATTCAGAGAGCTGACCTTTCGGTGAGTAAGTTAAGCAAATCGAATTCAATTTAAACGTTTTCAATTAGATTTTCATCGGCAAATGAGTTCATCTTTTGTTTTCACTTGCTGGAAAACTCAGACGGGGCAAAAAGCCATTAGCAAATTTTAATGGAAACTCTGCAGGCCGCAATCAAAGCCTCGTACATATATGGTTAGTTCGTTGCTCGAGTCTTTTGTTTATGGGCCAAGCATTAACAAGGAAGAACATCACTAGGAAGCAGCTGCGAATGGCCGGGTCTCACCTAATAACTAACCAAATTGTATCTTTCTCTTCGATTGGAATCGCTGCCGAGTAGTTTACATGATTGATAGATGGAAAAACCGCTTTCAGCTACAATGCGGCGGCTTGTTAACGTTCAATTAGTGAAATTGATAGACATATCTTATAGCTCGGCGAGGGAAAATCATCAACTGTTGAATCATAAGCCAGAAATCTGGGACTAAGAATCAGAAAAACAAAAGAACGTTTGGCTGGCCACAAATTACAGCAGCGGTTTAATTAAAATGTAGCCGGCCTTTTTTCGGAGGTTCACGGTTTCGGTCACGCTCACATGGAAATTCTAAGTGCTGTGCTGAAACCAAAAAACGTTTTTCTTATTTCCAAATCCAAAATTTCAAACTAACCGCATGCCGCACACACGCATATTTACCGTTCTTCTGGTTTGGGCCATTCTTCTCTTGGCTTTTCTGTCCACTTTGGTCAACGGCTCATTACATTTGTGGGTTAGCAGGTGAAACTGAACCGAATCGAAAGAAAAACTTGGAGGAAGGGCCAGGCCGGGCCAGAGAAAAACCGAAAAAGACGGCAGATAAGAATGGGACTGAAAGCACAGTCAATGTTTCAGCCCGCGGTGGCTTATTAAAAGCGCGTTGCGTTGCCTGTCGAGGCCTATAATTAGCATAAATTCATTCATACAACTAATTGCAAGTGGAAGTGAGCGTTCCGTAATGAGTTCGCCTCTGGTTCCTACTCTTGTCTCGTCTTCTTTTCTCTCCTCCGTATTTTTTCCCCGTTCAATCGAGCACAGGAATGGTGCACACTGCGCACCACCGAGATGATCAAGGGGTTCCAGCCAGCCTCATATTGTTTTTAGTGCAATGTCTTAAAGCATGTTATTAACATTAACGGTTCTTTCCACTCCACTCTTGTTTGGCTTTCATAATTTATGTGTGAGCTGTTGTTGTTGCAGTCGCAGTCGCAGGAGGCTGTACTGTATCCCAGGCGTGGGCGTAGCCCTGGTTTTGCATGCATCCCACCTGCCGGCGAACCCCATACCCCATGTCATAATTAATTATGTAACTAACGAAACATTAAACAAGTGCCCAGCGATAGAGCTTTAAGAAAAACAAAAAAAGTACTAAAATCATGAAAATCCGAACGAAAATCTTTTCTCACGCAGCCGCTTATTAACCGCTAAATCTTTTTCGCTGTCTCTCGGGCAAAATAATGAGCCACACTTTAGATTATCTCACAGGTGGTTCAGCAGTGAATCTCTGTTTTAAAGCGGCTTCGGCTTTGCCTTTTTTTATTGCCAGCCAGTGAAACTTACTTTTTACGCTCTAGCCGGCGATCGACAGCCGAAACGCATTAAAATATTTAACAACATGAAAATGTCTTTTTTGTTTGTCTTTTTATGAATGGGGCACACACAGCTTGAATTCACTTTCACGCCGAAATGCGGGAAAAAGTCAGTTATTCGCCAAAAAAAAAAGAAGAAAATACTGCTGTAGATCTGAGATTGCCAGCTTTAGTGTTAATTGTTTAGCGCGTTTGAAGAGAGATTGCATAATTGGATTAGCAAATTGTTATGACAGAGGCAAGGAACTAAGACGACAATATGTTTGTTATGTCAATGACTTCTTATAAAGTTGGCATATTAAACTGCTCGCAAGAAAAAATAAAAAACTGAAAGAGGGTTCAAGTTATCGCCATTTTTATACCCTTGCAGAGGGTATTATAATTTCAGTCAGAAGTTTGCAACGCAGTGAAGGAGACGTTTCCGACCCTATAAAGTATATATATTCTTGATCAGCATCACTAGGCGAGTCGATCTAGCCATGTCCGTCTGTCCGTCTGTCCGTCCGTCTGTCCGTCTGTCCGTCTGTCCGTCTGTCCGTCTGTCCGTCCGTTTATATGCAAACTAGTCTCTCAGTTTTAAAGCTATCTACATGAAACTTTCCCAAAAGTTGTCTTTCTATTGCAGGTAGTATATAAGTCGGAACGAGCCGGATCGGACAACTATAGCATATAGCTCCCATAGGAACAATCGGAAAAATAAATGAAAAAAAATTATAACTTTGCTGTTTTTTAATTTTTTGTTTAGTTCTTCGACATATAGTAATGGTTAAATATTTCCGATTTACGTTTTAAATTTCATCAAAATCGGTCGACTATAACATATAGCTCCCATAGGAACAATCGGAAAAATAAATGAAAAAAAATTATAACTTTGCTGTTTTTTAATTTTTTGTTTAGTTCTTCGAGATATAGTAATGGTTAAATATTTCAGAATTATGTTTTAAATTTCATCAAAATCGGACGACTATAGCATATAGCTCCCATAGGAACAATCGGAAAAATAAATGAAAAAAAAATTATAACTTTTCTGTTTTTTAATTTTTTGTTTAGTTCTTCGACATATAGCAATGTTTAATTATTTCAAAATTATGGTTTAAATTTTATCAAAATCGGACGTCTATAGCATATAGCTCCCATAGAAATAATAAAAATATATAAAATAACTATCTAATAATTGAGCTGCAAATCATCATAGTTTCAATGTTTTTCAGCATATACTCAAGTAAATCATAATTTAAATGTTTTCAAAAGTATTTAATTCATGCAATAGCTGCAAGGGTATATGAACTTCGGCTTGCCGAAGTTTGCTTTCTTTCTTGTTTTAAACTAGTTTTGGGTTCCATACATTAGGGAATAAATTTACCTTTAAATTTATTGTGCAGTAAAGGAAGGCAGGATATTTTTTTTGTAATTACACTAGGCTGAAAGCACCGATATAGTGTTTCTCTAAATCATTGAAACCAAAAGAATGCTTTAAAAATATATGGAGTAGTTATATGTTTCCGGTAAAGTTTTCAGTCAGTTTTCGTTTTATTATGCAGTAAAAAGCCAGTGCTAAAATTTTAATAATAATGATTATTATCACACCTGAGACTAAAAGCGCCTATATAGTATGAGTATCTGGAACATCAGAACACCTATACTTACTAGGGGAAATCTAGGCCCATGGGGTCTGGGATCTATTGGGATTTCCCCCAGCACGGTGCCACCTACGCCTCTCTATCCGTTCCGCGCACCCAAAATAGTTCCCAGACAGCGGTTTGTTTTAATATAAAGCATCACACCACTGAGGGCCTGAGCAATGTTTTTGTTCTGATTGTCGGTGGTGCAACTGTTGTATATGCACAATGGATAGAGCCAAGTTTGCTTGCGGCTTTAATTAAACGCTGCGAACACACGGCCAACAAGTCAGACAATTAAAGCTCGAACATAAAGAAACACCTGGGGCATACCTTAAATACCATCCAAGACACAGAGTTCCGTTCCGTTTTCATTCCTGGGCGAGCAAAGCCCCCGTGGAGGAACCCTAGTCGTTGGTCTTCTAAGACTAACGCCAAACTAATAAAGTGCACACCAGGAATTACATAAATTGCGCGTAATGTGAAATTAGTTGCCTAATTAACATTTAGCTTTTTCTCCCGGGGGATAACTCTGATAAATCTATGTACTCACACCGTCTAACCATTTCAATTGCAGACAAAATGTTTCTACGCCGCTGCACGTTTCTGCTACTGATCTGCCTAATTGCGAGTGACGCCGCCAGCGCCGCACGCAAAACAAAACGTCCTGTCAAGCCGGTCAAGCAGACCAATCCGCGCACCAATGTAACGCCTTCGTCGCCGGCAGTAGCACCATCTGGTGGCTCCACACCCGCCAGCACCACCAGCACCACTAGCAACACCAGCACCACGGAGGGAAACGGCGATCTGGAAGCGGCCACAGTGGGATCTGGATCTGGGGCTCCAGCTGGTGGCAGCGGAGAGCTGCCGAAGCCCCTAGTCACGCCCATCGAGCCTCAGCCGGAGGCGAAGACGGACAAGGCACCAGTCGGAGTTCAAGAAGAGGAGTGCGATCCAGATATGATTGGATTCGAGATCATTACTGGGTGAGTTTAACCCAAGGCTTTTCAAGTTTTGAGTGAGGTTTTGAGTACAGAAATATTAAATTTTTTTATTAATTCATTTGACAATGATGTAAATGTAATGCATTTACAACAAGTAGGATTCATTCAAAGTACTATATTTTTTACATTAATTAAAATGTTGTAATTTTAAATCGTGCCTTTCAATATTAACTTTAAGGATTTTATATTTCGTTAAAATATTTCAATTTGTTTTTGCCAGTGCAAGTCAACCAACCGCTTTATTAATTTAAAATATATTTTAGCTAATTATCAGAGGAACAGAATTTCTTGAGTTTTTCTTCGTTTAAAGAAGATTTTTAATTATTTAAGTTAATTCAGCAAAACCCTCTTACGTAGCACCCCTTCTTAATAATACTTTTATTATTTTACTGAGTGGGTTGATAACCTATACAATACAGTTGACCTTGTTAAATAGACATTTTCCAAAAGTAACCCGACTTTCCAAATATTGTATAATCAAAGATAAAGATGTTCCCCTGATCACCGCTACCTTTTCAAAACTGTCACAAAACAATAAAGAGTTACACAACCGCCGGCATTATAGAAACCTGATTACATTTTATGGCCACTTGTTTTCACTTTTGCTTTCCTTCTAATATTTGAATTTTTGAGCGACACAACAATAGAGAGGCCGCAAGTTCATAAGTTTTTAATGAAATGCAACTCGACAACATCTGGGCCAATTAACATTTTCATTTCCGTAAGAAGAGAAGAAAAGAAGACGAGATAGCGGTGAATCCAGCACCACCGCAGTCGAACATTGCTAACTGGCAACTGTCATATGCAAATTTGTGGTTTCCTTAGGAGTGACACTGTTCGGCAAAAACGTGACTAATCCCATGGCTTTGTTTAGAAGTCATCGCCCGCGGCAAGTTCGTTGCCAGAGTCTTTTGTTCGGCATGGACCTAAGATCGTAGAATGTCCGACCACTTTCGTTTTCATTCGCTGTGGATATCTATTAGCCGGTTCGGGGATCATAAATCATCGGGGTATCGCGGTATCGATCTCATTTATAAATCATCTCTCCACACTTTTCAGCTACGTGCTTTCGGCTCCCTCCAAAATGCTGGACACTTTGCCCGGGACTCTAATGCTCACCGACTGCTTGGAGGCCTGCCAAAATAACGAGTCCTGCAGCGCTGTCAACTACGAAACCGGATTGTGTGTGCTGTTTAAGACGACCGCCGATAAATTGCCAGGTGAGTTAGAAAGTGTGAGAATTCCGTTTTATATTTCTTCCTCTGTTTTTGTGCCAAAGAAAGCTCAATAATTCAGGCGACTCTGAGTTGTTCGTTCATTCATTCATTTACTCAATTACTGAGTTCTAGTTCATGCAGGTTGTGGCTTCGGCTGTCGTGGCCTGGGGGCATAAATCACCCGCGTGTCCGCTCTGCTTCGCGAAAAAGCAGAAAACAGAAATATACAAACGAACCTACAGCAGCACACACCTTTTGCTTTACGCACGACGCGGTTTTTGGCCCGGCCTGCAAACTAGATTTTTGCCCATTCTGCAGCCAAACTGGCTTTTGGCACAGTAACGCATAATTTCTGCAGCCTTCCCCAGTCGAATCTCGAATGTCGATGCAGTTGTCGTGGCTCAGCGCTCAGCTCCAAAAGGCTGGAGCTTTTGCCCGTTTCTCAACGCCTGTTACTTTGCAGTGAAGGGGCGTGTGCGTAAAACGCATAAAATACGCACACCACCGTTGCCGTTCCCGCTTTTCCCGCTGAAAGCACCACTTTTCATTTCGCATTTTCTGCGTTTTCTGCATTTTCAGGTTCACTTTCGCGCTCGCAGTTTCCGGTTTTCACCATCTACGCACAAAAATCGTGTTTGGGCGTGCGTCCTTGCTCAAAGGCCTGGTGCATTGATCGCGTTCAAGGTTACCGCCTCCCAGAGCACGTCAAATCTAGTCAGACGGTTCTGTCGCGACGGGACTGTTTGGAACTCTGCCTGGGCGAGACCGAATTCACATGCCGGTGAGTGTTAAAGCAATCAGAATGGATTCTAAATGTAGAATTCTAGTTTCTTATGGGTAAAACGTGATGCTAAGGATAAATACAAGTTAGATCTGTAAAGTGATTTTTGTGGGTCATTAAGAATTTATAATCTCTTCATATTTTTGAGAGAAACTTGAACTCAATGATGTAGTATCGTGCTAAGAATTGTATATCCTTTTACCACTAGCATTTTATAAAAAATAATATTATTTACTTTTTTAAGACAAATTATTCCTAAGAACTTAATTTATAAAAACGTGTTTATTTTATTTACTACTACTAACTTCTAAAGATTTGGCTGTAATGCAAACGCTTGCATAATTGTTCGCATATTCCACAATGATGTGGGCTATTTGAAAATTGAGATATTAAATATTTGATAATACTGAATTTTAATAGAAGTAATGTTACCCACAAATAATGCTTTATTATTTTACAATTTCGAGCGGCTTACCTTGCTCTCATTGCTCTCGTTTGGACTTGCGACTCTTTCCTAATATCTATCTAATATCCATTCCGCTTGCTCTCTTCCACTACATTCGCCACTCGCTTTCCGCCCTTCACTCTTCCGTCCTATACCACTCAATCCTCGCAGATCGGCCAACTACTACCGCCACTCGGGTCTCTGTGAGTTGTCCGACATGGACCGCATTACCTTGTCCGCCGGAGGAAGCGTGGAGCCCTACGATGGAGCCGACTATCTGGAGAACAACTGCGCCGAGGAGCCTAGCAAGCTGTGCGAGTTCAAGCGGATTTCGGGCAAGATCCTGAAGACAGTGGATTCGGTTTACCAGGACATCAATACCATTGACGAGTGTCGTGATCTCTGCCTGAACTCCCCTTATAGGTAAGGTATTCTCAGGGTCTAACAATTGGATTTCCGTTTGATTTAATTTGATTCCGGATAGATGCCATTCGTATGATTATAATGATACTGGGGACATGGTCTGCCGCCTGTCGCATCACAGCAGAGCTACCCTAACTGATGTAATGGATCCCTACTTGGATGTTCCCGAGGCAGCCACCTATGAACTGTCCGCGTGTTATAATGTCTCCATTGAGTGCCGTTCTGGGGAGATGATTACCAAGATAAGGACCTCTAAACTCTTCGATGGCAAGGTTTATGCCAAGGGAGCTCCCAAATCCTGCGCTGTGAATGTGAATAACTCCCTGGAGTTTGATTTTCGTATGGGTTACAATGATCTGGAGTGCAATGTCCGACAGAGTGCGTATGGCAGATACATGAACGACATTGTGATTCAGCACCACGACATGATCGTCACCTCTTCCGATCTTGGACTGGCTGTCTCCTGTCAATACGATTTGACGAACAAAACGGTACTGAATGATGTCGACCTGGGTGTAACTGGAGAGATTGAGTCATCCCTGAGTGAGGAGATCACCATTGATTCGCCCAATGTCATCATGAAGATAACCTCGCGGGATGGCAGCGACATGAAGAGGATTGCCGAGGTTGGCGATCCGCTGGCCCTCCGCTTCGAGATCGTGGAACCCAACAGCCCGTACGAGATCTTCGTCAGAGAACTGGTGGCCATGGATGGTTCCGACAGCGCTGAGATAACGTTGATCGATGCTAATGGCTGCCCCACCGACCAATACATCATGGGCACCATCCAGAAGCTGGCGCACAATCGCAAGGTGCTGCTCTCGCAGTTCGACGCCTTCAAGTTTCCTTCAAGCGAAGTGGTCCAGTTCCGCGCCTTGGTTACGCCCTGCATTCCACGTTGTGAGCCCGTGATTTGCGACAGCGAGGATGGCGCCAGTGGAGAGCTCAAGTCTCTGGTTTCCTATGGTCGCAAGAAGCGATCGGTACTGAATGGAACTGATGGTGGTAAGTGTCATATTTAGTGTCATATACAATTTCGAAATTTGTAACCTAACAATGTCGATAACATTTCGATATTTGTCGTCTTGCAATGTTGATAATACTTAGATATTTGTAACCTTTGTAATCTTACGAGATTTTTAATATTTAGATTGATAGATGAATAAAGCATTCTTACACTTTTCCCCGTTCCTTGCAGCCGAGTTCTTGCTCAGCACACGCCATCGACGTGATGTGGGCCCTGTGGATGATAACATACTGCTCATGCAGTCCATACAAATCACAGACAAGTTTGGCTTCCAGCCAGAGGATGGAACAACCACTACCCATGAAAATGACAGCGTTTCTGGTCCCCATGAGAAGGCCTATGCGGGCGTGGCCCAGGACAAGCTCACTTGCCTTAATGGCTATGGTAAGTTTGATTTTTCGTTCCGGGGGCTCTGTGAAAAAGACCAATCAAGCTCAAATCCAAATCAAAGCCAGCTTGATTTGCATAGACAAGCAAGCAGGAGCTCGTCTGCTCCTCCTTCCTGGACGACATCGTGTCGTACTCGCATCGTGAGGCGCTCAGCTTGTTCTTGGCTCGCTAATTTTTATAATGAATCAATTTTTCATCATTGCCGACTTGAGCAAGGGGCCTTAAAATGGGTTCTTCGTTGTCCAGAACGTGTTCTGTGTTATGATGTTGGGCTGTTTGACTGGCTTTTCCTTGGTGTCTCTGCTAACTCACGACCAGGTCAGTAGTTCATCCGAAGCTGTGCACCAGGATTCTGCACGCCTCGTTTTCGTGCGGCGCGAAAATCTTTCTGCACAGTTTGTTGTCCATCGGTGAGATGCTGGACTGGCTTTCCAGCTCCTGAGTTTCTACATCTCCCATGTGTCACTGCTTTTGTGGAGCAATTTCCAAGCCGCGTTGAAGCGTTAAAATGACAGCTCGTTAGACAGATGAAACTCCACTGGACCACCACCATACACCATACATCAGCCGTAATTTTCAGGGGAAATTACGCTCTGCATTTCAAGGCAGATCAGAGGCGAACAAGCCGAAGCAATTATAGCAACGCGTTGCAACGGTTCTAACCGTGCTTAAGCTCATTTGCCGCACACATTGCTCTGAAATCACCTGGCCAACTGGATGCGTGTGCACCCAGAAGATACCCAGATGAAACTTGGCCTTCGTCTTTGGCATGCAGAGCGCCAATTTAACGCCGCATCAACAACACCCTGTAATTTGTCAAAGTTTATGAGCATTTTACATTCTTCGCTGATATTTATTTAGAAATGAATCTCTTCCATTATTTCAATCACTTTAATGACTTTTAATTTACGATAGTTCAGTTCTTTAATTTCTGGTATTAATTTGGAACAAATCACTAGGAAGTTTCCTCAATTTAAATGCATATCAATTACTTTGTTTTAGAAATTGTCTAATATTTACACAATTGTGCAATATTCTATTTACGTAGATTAACAACAATTCATAACTGGCATTTTGCTTAAGAACCGACGAGTTTTACATGAAGAAGTTAGCTACCAAATTACCGATTATTTTCTTTTCACTTTGAAATGGTCTTAGTCTTTTAAAAGGCGTAATTCTTAAGCAATTTTACTTGTATACAGGCTGGCTAGTTTTTGGCATAAATCTTTCAAACGTTTACTACTTGTTGTCTATTATAATGAAACTTTGCCAAAATCAACATTTGCATTTATTTTTTTCCGTTTTAAAAGCTCTTGGAATAATTACATTTGTTACTTATCGGCAATCAATTTTCTGAGAGTCACATACATAAGGATTTTAGTGCTCTTGATACCCAGTAGCTCATGTTGGTCGTTAAAAAAACATACATGCAAATGAATCTTCAATTTAGTTTCTCTTCAAGTCACACTTCACTTTTATTCGACAACTTAAAAATGTTCACAGGCAGTGTATGTTCTAAAACGTTTTCAGATTTTCGCAATCAACATAACTTAAAATTTTTACAACTGATCAGATATGATTTTGCTTTAAGTGTGCTTAATTTTGTATACGTTTTCATTTAAAAGGGAAATCTTTAAGCAGATAGATTACTTCACTTTCATTACTGTGCAAGTTTTCTCAGCGCTTTTCTTGGCTCTTTGTTCTGGTTCGGGTTTCATCAAATTATTTACCATTTTGTGGGCGCCACAGTTCAGTTATTGCCCCCCTGAAACTCCCACAACTCCGAGGACCGTTTATAGTAATTGTTATAATTTTGTATATTTTTGTTGTTCCCTCTTTTGTTACTGTTATTGTGGTCTTCTTGTTGAGATAAAAAACCGGAGTCAAATACATAAATAAAAGACTCAAGTGCGTGCACTTTGTTATTGAAACTCATTCAAGTCATGGCGATCGCGATGGCGATGACGATGATGATGATAATGACGATGTTGTGGCTCTTGGTTTGTTTGTTGATTTGTTTTCGGTTTACTTTTTATGGTCATTTGAGGAACGAACAACCACAACATTGTTACAAAGTAATCTCTGATAGTCATCTGGCATGTCGTCGTCTCTGTTGTTGCTCTTAAATTCTGATTTCTGGACAACTGGACAAAAAACTGAACGCATGCAAGTTGAGCTGAGCACTGCAGCTCGACTTTGACTTTGACTTTGGCGGCACGGCACGGCACTTTCACCCGATTTCTACCGGCTTCGGATTCGGCTTCGGTATTTCGAATTTCCTCCACCGAGGTCCGCCGCTGGCTTATTTATGTGGCATGTTGCACTTTTAAGAACCCAGACCAGGCCAGGCCAAGCAGGCAACATGCGATGTCTAGGGTATAGAAAGTGAAGCCAAGAGAGTCCAATTCCAAGTCCGTGCCGAAATATGCAACTCATGCATTAAATTGTCGCTGTTTTATTTCTCATTGTTTTTGTTTATCTTCAACTTGTTGCTGTCAAACTTGGTCACTTGGTCACTTCGCGTCTTGGGGCCTTCAAGCTATATTCATTGCTCTTTTCGCTCCTCTAGTTTTGTTTCAATTCACGGTCGGTAAAGTGGGTCAAGTGGCGCCCACTTTTGATTTCTGTGATAACCAAGCCGATCCGAGGTCACTTCTGCCTGTTGTTCCTTGTCTTCCGCCCATTGAAGCGATCTTATCGAGAGTTTTGCTGGGTTTGCAACCAGTTTCCACCGAAATTTTTCGAACTAGATCGGTTACTCGAGATAAACAATTGATTCGACTTCCTTTTTAAAAAGTGCGCAATCTGGAGCAACATTTTTATAATGTTTTTGAAGGGTTTAGATTAAATCATTTAATTTAAAAAGTAAAACAGTTGTTTGAAGAACATGTACTATTTTGTTAAGTTGGGGTTTAGGCTTCCATTAGCACATGTTGGTATTGATAAGTTAAAAAATAAGTCATACATCAAATTATTAAAATATGTAGAAATAAAAAATATACAAAGTAAAAGTATAAAACTTGAATAGCCCTCAAACTAACTTTAAACTATGCCCTAAACTATGCACTAAATTAAAGTGCATCTTCAATGTACAGATAGTTTTACAAGTTTAAGAAATAAACTAGCACACACCTCATTGAGAAAATGTTTTAAACATGTTAACTAATGAAGTATGTTTAAATTTGTTCTTATTTGTAGGACTTATTATGGCCGGAGCCCTCTTTCTGCTGGCTCAGTTGAGCATCTTTGGGATTTGGAAGACCGTGCAGCGTCGCACCAGCAAGGAGCGCTACCTCTATCAGCACGAGCCCACGCCCACCATTACCTACGGAGCGCCCACCATGTTGTACGGACCGCCTCCGAACTCCTCCGCGGGATCCTCGTCGTCGGGAGCGTCCTACGGAGGCAGCGCCAAGGACACGCTGAGCAAACTCTACGACAGTGGCATCAACGGACGCTACGGACAGCAGTTCTAGGGAGATCTGATCTGGGTGGCTCTCGCACTTAGCTGGGAACACTTAGCTGGGAACAAACGCAATATGCCTCGAAAGCTTCAAAAGATTCGATGAGACTTGAATAGCAAATATTCGCCTAGCAGCGACACACACATGAAAATCAATGGAAACCCTAGATTAATTGCAGCCTAGAATAAGCCTACGATTAGCTTACTCTTAGTTTTTGATTTGCGAACACACACCATTTTTTATCTGTCACGAATGCGCGCTTTTAAATGGATTGGATATCGAGGTTCCAGCATTTTAAATCTGCGCATTGCCAAGCAAAGAACGGAACATTTCTACCGCTAAATTCGAATTAGTTTAGAGCTATAATCTCTCTAGCGAAAGTTAGGCTAATTATAATTATATGTTTAGTGAGAAATCTGCTTCAATGTCCTCGAGCGAATTGCATTTATAACTATTACACTATTTATTATTAACTATTGAGCTGCTGACATTTTCACACAAAGTTTGCCAAATAATTTTGTATCAAAATGTTTTGTGCCAGGCTTCTGTGCAAGGCGATATTTCCTAGTTTCCGAGGTCCCACAATTTAAAACTATTACCCTAACTATTTATTTGCTATTCGTACTTTATATTATTTATTAGCCGAAACGTAAGGCGGTGCTAATTATTAGGAGCTTCTTCAGAGCACAGGAGATGAAAATTAATAAACAAAAATTTGATAAACGAATTGTACTGATTAAGTAAAGCAATAAAGTCTACGCCTAAAAAAACATATTAATAAATAAATGTCTAAAACAAAAATAGTTGAATTTAAATTTATTTACGAAAAGGCTCATGCCATTCATTTTCTGTTGTGTTTAGGTAAGCATGTCAAAATGTATTAACGCCCAAAAACCTCTAATTTACCAAAACCCAGACCTTTTCATATTAACATTTCAGTGAGAAAACTTGGTTAACCGCTTAGCCAAATTGATGTTTGTCAAAGCGAAAGACAACCGAAGAAATTATGATAATTTCACGGCACTTTGAGCAGTGGAAAAATAAGTGGCATACGAGTATCTTTCAGTTGGGGCCGTCCAACAAAAGTGTTAATCAAATTAAGAGGCGGCATGGCAATGAGTTTAACCAGGCGTGTCATGATCTCTTTAACGCTCCAGCTACGCACGCCATTAAAACCATTCTCGATTCCCGACTCGAGTCTTGTGATGTTGTAGTGGGGCACATCATAAATTCTGAGCCACTGAAGGCGTCGATTAATCATGATCACGTTGAAATTGAAATGTGCGAAAAGCTGAGTATCGCTGCCGACGTGTGCCGCCTTTCTGAATTAAGATGTCTCCATGAGTCGGGGCTCGTCTCCTTCTTTATAACATCGATGCCTCCCGGCGCGTCCCTCTGCCACTGGAAAGGTGTCAGATACGCATGTGCGTCGTGCCCCATGTTGAATAAAACGCCCCTATTAAGCTGCAGTTAAATGAAAAATATTTTCCGAGCCGAATGTGGCACACACTGAAATAAGGTTTTTCTTTCATTTGGCTAAATTCTTTGCCATCGGAATATGAAAACATGAATGTAACAATGTTTCGTTTCTTGTTTGTGAGGTGATAAGCCAACAATAACATTAAGTTTTTTTTTCATCGCCAATCCGAATGCAATTTATTTTTCTCTTTTGCTTGACTATACACTTTTGCTTTTTTTTAAGAAAACTAAAAAAATGAATTTAACAGGATTTAACAGGAACCTTAAGAACCCGCCTAAAATATTTATAATCTTCAGAAATTGCACATACCTCCAACATAAGTTAGAGTAAACTATCGAAGCCACGAGTTGACAATTTTTATGGCCGGTTCTAGTACGCATTTGGCTTGGACACGGCTATGGAGTTTTTAGTTTGGAGTTGGGGATCGAAATGGAGTTGGTATAGCGACACAGGCGTTGCCCATTCGATCCGGACCAGCGCTGCGTGAGCTTTTTGCTTTCGGTTTTCTCACCTTTAAGCGAGCCTAGAATGAACGTGGCCAAGTGTGGGCATATTGCCGTTGACAGCTATGCAAATGCCTTGCCATTAGTCGTTGACTGTTAGCAATGGCTTCTAATTAGCGGCTTGACTTTGTGCTGGCCTGGATAGGACCAAAGGCTGGCCAGAATCGTTCCGAAATTCCAGAGACAATGGCGTGGCGACACCTACACTCGATGCCACTTTGACACTTTGACCATTGAGGAAAACGTTTGCTCGCATTTCGCCAATTTCCATACATAAAGTTCGCATTGAACACCCTCACGCTTCGTGGTCATTTGCATTTAAATGCCATTTGGCTCTGCCCTCGCATTGAGATTCGGACTGGGATTGGATGAGGATGAGGTGAAGATCTCGTCTGCAGCACTTCCCATTCGGGTTTGCTTTTCTTTTCTAGCCATGTTGGCCTGCTCACGATTTCTGCCTCTTGGCCTCTGCATTTGTTTGTTTTACAGCTGCTTGCTTTGATTGAAAAATTATGCACTTGCCATGGCAATGGGCTCCGCCAAATTTCGCCTCCAATGCGAGTAAGAAAAGAAGAAATCGAGGGAAAAGAAATTCCTAGGACGAACCATAGAGCCAAAATAAGACCGGCTGCTTAATTAAATTATTTAATGCTCTTGCTGAACGAATTTTGTGAAGCTGCATAAAAGGATCCAAATGTCCAGTTAAAAAACGAATTCAATTTGCCAAAATCTAGCCAGGAAAAAGTCCCAACAAAACAATGGTTGCAAATAAATTGACAAATTAATGAAAATCAAAAAAAAAGTATACATGATTTACTATACTCTTGTGTTACAATTATTAATATTGCAACAAAATTGCGTCCGAAAAGTTTCACACTGTTAAAAATTCACAAATTACAATTTGTAAAATATTATAACTATAATTTAGCAACTTAATTTGTTTTATTTTTTTTTTTGACCTAACCGAAATACCCAAACTACTTGTTAGTGCATCAAGACTGACTGACAAAAGTTGGAATTTAGCACTTGAAGCGACGATAGGCAAACGTTTCCCGTTTACCATTTCCCATTTTCCGATTCCAAAGTGGCAAAAGCCTGAAAGCGAGGACGGTGGCTTGTTACTTTTCATTTCGCCAACTCCTTCAGCTTGTCCTGCTCATTAGCAATTGCCCGGCATGGCGAAAAGCGAACAGCGAACAGCTGTCCCTGTTAGCCAGTTTTCACCTAATTAAGCAAACAAACGTGTGGGAAACTGGCCGCGCAGGCAGATAGATAACTTTCCCCGCCCCAGAAAAACACGCCCATGTCCTCGAAGTCGAATATCCCATATCCCAAAGGCTAATTGCCACGAACATGGGGGCTAAGTAGCCGCTGGAATGCAGCCGAAAACATTTGTCTCTAATTGCGGCTCAGCCCAATTGGGCAGGCCAAATTAAATTAAATGCAGCCGAAAACAAACAAGAGAAGCAGCGAGATCACCAGGAAAGCCAGAGAAGATGCCACGGCGGCCCACAACAATTTGTGCAAAAATACAAATTGGAACATTTGCAGAGGCGCAGGCGTGTTGTAGGCAATACTGTGAGAATTTATGGCCCTGCTCTGGGGTCACTACCGGGATAAAATCTGGTTGGTTAGCCAAGTCGGAGGAGCTGGCGGAGCCGACGCGTCGTGCGCAATGCGCATGCAAGGTAACTTGCAACTTCCAAACAAATTCGAAATGTTAAGGACATTGACCAGGAACGATCCAAGCAAAAATCAAGGTGGACAGACCGTTTGTGGCAGTCCGCGATGGAAGGCCATTAGAAATTAGAGAAATGGTTCAGTACCGTTGAGGACTGGCAGAAAAACAATTAATAATTGAAAAATGTATCTCTAGAATCTTGGGCAATTGCAATTACCGCAGGGGTCATGTCTTTTCTCCTTAAGACATTGAACTTTGACTGCCTGCGGGAAAATGTGCCCAACTGACTTACATAAAGATGATTAGCACGTGTTTATATCTCAAACCTTAACGACCCATAATAATGGTTTATCGGCAAACATTTTCTTAGACAAGGAAAATTGTATGCAAATGTTTATGATTTACTTTACTGGCTTTTCAACTAATGGTCATATTTTGCACGTTAGAGTCGTTAAACGGTAGGTGTTAGTAGTTACCTGAAATCCTGTGACTGGGTTAATAGGTAAAGTAGAATGCTCAAAAAATATGGGGAGAAAGCGTCTTAAACTGCCAATGTGATGGTTATACATTATGTCTTAATTTCCGTAATGAACGGCAGTCTAACCAACTTAATGAAGTGGTGTAGAGTAATAACAACAAAAATTGTAGGCAATAAATAAATAACAGACAACAGGATCATATGTTTGCAGTTAATTAAAAAAGTTAGTGGGATTACATGGTTGGCTGCTGCCAGCTTAAAGCGTTTAATTAAAAAATCTTTTTAAACAAGAAAGGAAGCAAACTTCGGCAAGCCGAAATTCATATACCCTTGCAGCTGTTGCAAAAATTAAATATTGTGTATGTTTAAAAGTATTGAAGCTAAGATGATTGGCAGCTCAATTATTTGTCATAGGAATTATTGATTAATTAAGCTGCAAATCATCATAGCTTCAATGTTTTTAAACATATACGCAAGTAAATCATAATTTTAATGTTTTCAAGAATATTTAGTTTTTGCAATAGTTTCAAGGACAGCTATTCAGCTTGCCGAAGTTTGCTTCCTTTCTTGTTTTTATTTATTTTTCCGATTCTTCCTATGGGAGCTATATGCTATAGTCGCAGATAGCTTTAAAGCTGAGGGACTAGTTTGCGTAGAAACGGACGCACAGGCAGACAGACGGGCTTGGCTAAATCGAATCCTAGTGATGCTGATCAAGAATATATTACTTTATAGGGTCGGAAAAGTCTCCTTCACTGCGTTGCAAACTTCTGAAATTACCCTCTGCAAGGGTATAAAAACATTTTATCACATTTGCAATAATGACTTTTTTACATAATAAGTAAATTATTAAGTTAGTCAAAAACATTTCTCTACAACCAATTCAACAATCTTTTCAAAATTAGTTTTTGTTTTTTAACTGGGTCCTTTTTGGGGCACATACTCTTTAGTTAAATGCAATAAGAAAAGATAAAACCTAATTTTAATAACACTATAACTGGGACTTTTGCTTTCCACATGCGATTGTTGCGCATTCAACGCGCCTTCTATTGCCTTCCATTTAATTTTTGGGGCTTAGTTCTGGCTGCGTGGGGGAAAATGGTATGCGGTTGGGGGCGTGCGTTAAAATTGCTCGGGTGCACAAGGAAGGCCGCCGGCTGGCCTCTCTCACGTTGCAGGACAAGAACCGCGGTAAGTGATTACGTAACCAGCGCATTCGCATTGTTTGCAGCATCTGTTTTGTGGTCCTTTGGCCATTTCAATGGATGAGTCTGCAGTCGTAGTCGAAACCGGAGTCTGCTGCCTTCTTATCAGCTAATCAATGGGCGTGAGGAAGCTGCGGCAAAATAATTTATTCACAGCCATTATGCGCTGCGAATTTATGCCACTTCCTGGTGGAACCACTACAAATAGCCTTTTAAAATGCGATAAAAATAGCGCCAAGGGGTCTGCTCTGCAGAAACACTGCAAGACAAGGAAGATCCACCAGGGCCAGGTCTTTGGGTCTCGCAGATGGGGCGTGGCCACTTGGCAATGACTTTCAAGCATGAAACCGTAAAATGGTTTTTCAATAAGCCCGAAAGGAGCATGAAGGGGGAAACTGAAAAATGAAGAGCTGGGAAACTGAGAAAATGGCGAAACAATGCGACAAATATTTGAATATGTTAATTAGTCTGTTGTGTTGTTCCTGCCGTTGCCCGTTTTCTTGGGCACGATCAGTTCTCGTTCTTCTTCTATCGCTGGACGTGCATCGGCGCAGTCTAATTTCATGTGTTGCCATCTTGTTAGCACACCGGTGAGTCGTTCGCCAGGTTAAGAGGAGCATTTCGACCTAAAATCGGAGGAGTTTGCAACCGTTTTGCATCTTCGCACCAGGCGGACTAACGAATGCAAGTGCCTTCGAGATTCATATTCATACTTATGATTGGTATGCAGGTTGGTTGGCCCACACACACACACCGTTCGTCAATAAAGCTGCCAATGAGCCCGGCTAAGAGCAACTGACAGCATCAGCCTTATAGAGTCACAGGCCACCAGCGGATCGGGATCTTTACTCCCAGATCCCCGCCCGCATTCCTCGCCAGTTGCACGCAAAGGTAATTGGGGATAGAGTGAACGGTGGGCTTCAAAGCATTTATAGCAGAGACACGTATTTTTAAAAAGTTTGGGCTCTTAAATATTAAAAATTAAACCGTCATAAATTAGAAATTTAAACTCAAGGATGGTAAAACTTCTACACAGTACTTTTTGGAAAAAAAAAATTAGACACTTTAAGGATAGCCTAAGTATTTCTGCTTTTTAAAAATTAAGCTTACATTTGCTTGAAAAATATTCCTAAGCTAAAGTAAAAACATATTTCTAAACTGCTTACAAATTGCATATAAGGGGAAGAAATGAATGGTTGGTAATTCAACCCAGAAAAATAATGACACCATAAGTTTAAGTTAAGGAATCCCTGAATAAATATGAAGTTTCTTCATAAGTCAATCGACAAAAAAAACATTTTTTTAAATTGCATTTGATTAGCATTTTTTAAGCATTTGTTGACAGTAACATGTATTTTTATGTGTTTTGTGTACTCATCTAAAAGAAGCTGAGAATTCTTATAGAAAACCGCATTTCACAAGCTAGGTTACAAAGGCGTCAAGTGATTAGAAGACGGGAATACTTTCCTTTAGAATAGCGTCCCAGAAACCGGGGTTCCACTGTCATCTTGGACCACAATCCAAACTCACCTGTGGCCATATTCCTTGCGTGCGCCGTCGCCCCAACTTTTGGCTTTAAGTTTCCTTTACCTGGCTTTGTAGGTGTTTCCAGTTTCCAGCTTGCAGTTTCCAGGGGCCACTGTTTCCAATGATGCCTTTGACAGCTACTAAATTCTGCCTGCTCGTCCAACGCACGTTCCTTGTCCAATTTTGGGCTTTTGGCCAACGGATTTTCCATCGTTTTTCCTTTTGGCCGGCGCTTATCGCTTGGCCATAAATTCATGCTGTAGGTGTCTCGATCTTTTTGCGTCTTTTTTTTTGGTTTTTTTTGAGCGGAGGTCCTCGCCTTGTGGACACGCAATGAAGTTGTTGTTCGCCGGAATTTCCCCCGCAGTGTGTAAAATGCAATTAACGGCACCTGCTGCAAGTCACAAATAGACAATTCAATGTAATTCTTTTAATTAATGAGCACAAAATATCAGTCATTGGAATAGAGCCAGCGTCGTTTCCAATGCAGTGATGATTTCGATTGCAATGGGCTTTGGACCAATCGATTGACTCAGCTATCGATATCGAAGTTTACTCCTTATCTATTATCTTATATATTCCACTTTATCTTGTTAGTTTCCCGGTACGACAGCTTCTATCCAAGAATTGCAGCGGCGCGAATAAATTTCCGGCGAGAAGAGCGTCTTGGGCTTTCGGCTGCGCGATTTCCGCCTGGTGGCAGGCGCCGCCAAGAAGAGGATCTGCTCATCCTGCCCGAACATTGGAGACTCTACCCAGTGCCAAGGAGATCTATGCCGGGCTGTCTTCCATTTGATGTGCAGCTTAGACAATAGCTGATCCTTCCAGTTCCGTGACGCTTTTCACAGCTTCTTGCACGCAGATAGATGCATAAGGCGGAAACTGGTCTCCGCCAATCCGCCCGCACCACCTGCGCAGCGTTTTAAAGCCATAACCAGATCTGGCTGGGGACACGGAGACTCCCACCCAGCTGGAGGCCAATTCCCGGCTCCCAACGACAACCAGATCTGAGTGAGACTCCTATCCAGCTGGACGTGAAGTCCGCAGAAGTTTCACCATAGTAGGACCACCATTCCTACCTGGTAAGTCTGTGAAGAAAGGCAATGGCAATGACATTCGCTCAGTAATTTTAATTACCCTGAACGTCAGAATTTATCTACGAATTCGAGCAGAAGGTAAGCCGTTTCAAGTTAGAAATTGGTGATTCCCAGCTTACTGCCAACAACGGTTATGCCCGAGGATTTGGAATCCCGGTTGGAGCTAATTAGTTAAATAGCTTGTTAATTAAATTGAGCCGTTAAATTTGAATGCAGAACATTATGAAACGAACTATTAAATAAAAATTCAAAACTCACCAGTTCCAACCGCCTTTTGGTGACCGATAGAGCTATCGATAGGTTTCAAAGAACCGGAGTCAGTGCGCTTATAATGATTATCGATGTTTTGCCAGCCCTAACAGCACCGCTGAGTGACGTGTAAGCGCAGCCAGAAAACCATTTCAATTGTTTTTACCATCTATTTAACCGAGAGTTCTGCAATAATGGGTTCGTTCCGCCGCGACAAAGACGAGGAGGAGGACGGTAAGTAGCTACTTAACGCCTGGGACCGAGTAATCCCCCAATCACCCGAGCCAAACGAGGAAAAACTCAGTTGCTGGAAGGTGCTCCGCTGGCAAAGAGACACCCTAACACACATGCACACAAACTTACTAACCCTACGAATAAAAAAAAAAAAAGAAAAATCAAGTTTTCCCCAAATTGACTGAGAAAATGAACTATTTTAATCTTGTCTCGCACAAAAAACCACACCGCGGTGATCCGTCAGCAGGACCAAGCAATGCGTACCAGAATCTGGAGAAAACTTCGGTGCTCCAGGAGACACGCACCTTCAATGAGACGCCGGTGAACGCGAGGAAGTGCATCCACATCCTGACCAAGATCCTGTACCTGATTAACCAGGGCGAGCAGCTGGTGCCGCGCGAGGCCACCGATTGCTTCTTTGCGATGACCAAGCTCTTCCAGTCCAAGGATGTGGTGTTGCGGCGCATGGTCTACCTGGGTATCAAGGAGCTGAGCTCCATTGCCGAGGACGTGATCATCGTGACCAGCTCGCTGACGAAGGACATGACCGGCAAGGAGGATCTATACCGGGCCGCCGCCATTCGAGCCCTGTGCAGCATTACGGACAGCACCATGTTGCAGGCCGTGGAGCGGTACATGAAGCAGTGCATCGTGGACAAGAATGCGGCGGTTTCGTGCGCCGCCCTGGTCAGCTCCCTTAGATTGGCCAGCACCGCCGGCGACGTGGTCAAGCGGTGGGCCAACGAGGCCCAGGAAGCCCTGAACAGCGACAACATCATGGTGCAGTACCACGCCCTGGGATTGCTCTACCACATCCGAAAGTCGGACCGCCTGGCTGTCTCGAAGTTGGTCAACAAGCTGACAAGGGGTTCGCTAAAGAGTCCTTACGCCGTATGCATGCTGGTAAGTTGTAGTAAAGAATGAAAGTGATGATAAAATCAAGTTCATTCACCCAAAAAGAAAAATTAAATAATCAGGGTTGATCGTGATTCACTATACTTTTCAAATGGTCCGGAAGCAGGATTCGATCCCACTTTATATTTTTTACTGCATACTTTTAGACACCTTCATAAATTATTTTAAAACTGTGGAGTCATGAGACAAATATTCCCAAAATTTATATTTATATGTTAAACTTCGTCAAAACTTTAATTTAATCTACCGTTTATAGCTAAAATAGTAAAGAACTAAACAACTCACCAAAACAGATTTTTTAAGTTTTGCGAACGTGAAATAACAGTTTACATTTCTTGTTTATTATTTCCCAAAATATAAGCTTTTTAAATTTAAAATGCACCACAATAATACAAATTGCAGTATTGATTTTCTTTGCTAGTCCAAGCACCCACTAACGAATGCTTTATCCATTCCATTCCCAGATCCGCATCGCCTGTAAGCTGATCGAGGAGGAGGACATTCCCTCAGAGGAGCTTTCCGACTCGCCGCTGTTCACGTTCATCGAGTCCTGTTTGCGGCACAAAAGCGAAATGGTCATCTACGAGGCTGCCCATGCCATTGTCAACCTAAAGAACACCAATCCCCGGATGCTGTCACCGGCCTTCTCCATCCTCCAGCTGTTCTGCAGCTCACCGAAGGCCACACTGCGTTTTGCGGCAGTGCGCACGCTTAATAAGGTGGCCATGACGCACCCGGCGGCGGTGACTACCTGCAATCTGGACCTGGAGGGCCTCATAACGGACTCCAATCGGTCGGTGGCCACGCTGGCCATCACCACACTGCTGAAAACGGGAGCCGAGTCCTCGGTGGAACGCCTGATGAAGCAGATCTCCACGTTTGTGGCCGAGATTTCCGACGAGTTCAAAGTGGTGGTGGTGCAGGCCATTTGCGCCCTGTGCACCAAGTATCCCCGGAAGCACACCGTGCTGATGAACTTCCTTAGCGGAATGCTGCGCGAAGAGGGCGGCCTGGAGTACAAGACCTCCATTGTGGACACCATAATCACGATAATCGAGGAGAATGTTGATGCCAAGGAGTCCGGTTTGTCCCATCTGTGCGAGTTCATCGAGGACTGCGAGCACGTTTCGCTGGCGGTGAGGATTCTCCACCTCCTGGGCAAGGAGGGACCCTTTGCAGCCACGCCTTCCAAGTACATAAGGTTCATCTATAACCGCGTGATCCTGGAGAGCCCGATTGTACGAGCTGCCGCTGTGACTGCGATGGCCCAGTTTGGAGCCTCTTGTCCGGCTCTGCTGAGCAATATACTGGTCCTGCTGGGTCGCTGCCAGATGGATCCGGATGACGAGGTGAGGGACAGGGCCACCTACTACCTGAGCATCCTGAATTCGGAACGGCCGGAGCTGTACAAGAACTACATTATCGAGCGGGAGAACTGCTCTCTGGCTCTGCTGGAGAAGTCGCTGGTCGACCATCTGAATGGCGATCTGGAGACACGCTTCGACATTTCCATTGTGCCCAAGGCGGCCATCGTGAAGCCAGTGATTGCCAACGATGTGATGCTGGTCACCAGCAGCACTCCGCGGCCACCAAAGATTACGCGCGAGGAGGAGAGCGCCGCCCGTTTGGCCCAGTTGCCAGGCATCCAAGTGCTCGGTCCCATCCACCGCAGCACCGCTCCCATCCAGCTGACCGAAAGCGAAACGGAGTACACGGTGCAGTGCATCAAACACATCTTCGGCCAGCATGTGGTCTTCCAGTTTGACTGTTTGAACACGCTGTCCGATCAATTCCTGGAGAATGTGCGTGTGGAGCTGACACTGCCGGATGGTTTCACGGCCAGGGCAGTCATTCCGTGTCCCAAGTTGCCCTACAACGAGTTACAGACCACATTCGTCATTGTGGAGTTCCCGGCCGATGCAGCCAGTTCCATAGGTGAGTAGGCTTTAATAACCTGACTAGAATAGCGAAATGACACTGATATAATTATTAAAAACTATTATTTTAGCCACGTTTGGCGCCACTCTGCGCTTTGTGGTCAAGGACTGCGATCCCAACACTGGCGAGCCAGATTCGGAGGAGGGCTATGACGACGAGTACATGCTGGAGGATCTGGAACTGACGATGGCCGATCAAATACAGAAAACCAAGAAAAACAACTTCCAGGTGGCCTGGGATGCGGCTGATAGCGAAGGTGCGCTTTAAAGTTGATGAACTCCCATTGCCATATTTTAACTGATTACTTCTTAACAGAATGGCTGCAAGCCGAGGACACCTTTGTGCTGTCGGCAGTGACCACCTTGCAGGATGCGGTCAACACAATAGTAAAGATTCTGGGACTGGGGGCTGCAAATCTCTCTGAAAAGGTACCTGAGGGCACGCACCTGCATACGTTGCTCTGTTCAGGTAAGATACCCTTGAATTTAGTATGAAACATATATCAATAAACGCGTTTCTTCGATTCAGGTACCTTTAGGGGCGGCGCTGAGGTTCTCGTCCGGGCCAAATTGGCGCTTTCCGAGGGCGTCACGCTGAATCTGACGGTACGCAGCACAGATCAGGACGTGGCGGAGCTCATAACGGCGGCCATCGGATAAGACAGCGAGCCATGCAGGAATCTTGTGTGGTTTCTGCGTGCTGTCAACATAATATAAACTCCATTACGAAGAAGAAAGCTACACTTAATCAAAAATATGATTTCTAGCATTAAGTGACTGTCTCTTTAATAATTTTAAAATCTGTGTCCACGATTCGGCAAGTGCAACTAAGCAATGTAACTGCCCGTTTGCAAAAAGCGATGCATCTTATGTATTGTACTTGTTTACTACGCCCCTATTAGCCTGTGCATCTAGCCTAAGTATGAAAACAAAATATTATAAATATATGTATATGCAATGAAAGCCGAAAGTGTTTTCTTAATGATTTTAAGATTGGTCAGTCAAGTAAATACAAATCTTTTGATTAATTGAGACCACCCGCCAAAAAGAAATTGATTTTTAACTCGTTCTTACTTTATTTTATATCGTATTTTATTTAATTATAAATAACTTAAAGTTGCAGTAACCTAGAGTAATTGTTGTTTTCCTATTTTTACAAATTTGATTTCTTTTGAATCGATTATTTTCGCTGCGTTTTCGTCTTAAATTACAAATTTATCTCTCTCGCATGCGTTTATCATATCTTGTGCTTTTGCTCTCGCATTCGATTCGTCATTTTTCACGCACTCTCATTCCAGCTATATTGAATATTTTTGTGTAAAATGTATCCGACGATGATCGTCCTTCAATCGACCAAGCAACTATTCAGTATTAATTATTTAAAATGTAAACGCACGCAAGTATAAAAAATAATATAGGTTTGTAATAACAAATAACACACTCACGCAGTTTGCAGCAATTTCACAATGATAATTTCATTTCGTTACAACTTCTTTACTCTCATCCTAAAATGTGTTGAATATGTCATTAGATATATGTGTTTTATATAGTTACGAGTGGTTGTCTGTTGTCCATTGTGTTTTGTTTTTGTTTTTTTTTTTTGTTGTTTGTGGGATTCCTGACAGGCGCAAGCTATTCGAATGGACATGTGCATCATCATCCCACCTGATCTCGCTCGATAATTTCATACAATTTCGCTTTATAATACAACTAGATTGTTTCTCAGCTTGATTTTTGCTTTCGTGTCTGGGCTTTTTTCCTGCTCGATTACTTCACATGCAGACATACATACATATTACAATTATATTACAATTAACATATTTCGTTTACACTTTTCGTTAAGGTTTGTTTTGTTTTGTTTTGCCTATTTGTTTTTTAGGAGGACATTTGCGAGTGATCCAGGAGCCCGGAGCTGAAAGTCACAACACTGCTCCGGCCCTTTAGTGGGTTACTGACTTACTGGTTACTGTTACGGGTTTCTATTTCCGGGAGCAGGACAGGACTGGTGGGGTCTTGACTATTGAGCAGCTTAAGCCTTACAATTAAGATATAGTTAATGCTTGGATATTTTATACAGTGAGTGATTGCTAGCTGGTGCTGATGGTTGATCGGTAGGTTCCGCTGATTCCGACTTCGAGTTCGATTCCCACCATCTTCAACACTTGAACTTGACCATGGGAATATGCTTGGAAGACACGCACTTGTCGCAGCACCACTCGGCAAATACCTCCTTGTTGAGCATTTGGAAGGCCGCCTCTGTCAGGCCCACACAGGTTCTGAAAGAATTAATCAAGAATACGTTTGATATATTAGGTATTAGTGGATGAATCATGATTTCATAAAACTGACTCTAATCTTATAGATATATTAGATACAGCGTAATTCCCCTGTTTATTTGAAATTAGCAAAAGGCAATTGAAAAGTCTACTCAGTCAGTTAACTAAAAATACGAAAAAATTTTCAAAAGTAACAAAAAAAATTTTTATAATTACTTACCACTCATTAATTTTCTAGGTATATGCAAGTTTTATTATATCAAGTTTGCTAATCAATGGACAAAACGTGATTTTATAAAACGAAGTCTAATCTTATCCAGGAAATTCATAAAGTATATTTCTATTTCGCTTTAATAAAATAGTTGAACTAATATTTTGACATCTGAAAACCTACCTGTGAAAGAAGAAGTTACAACCGGATTCACAAAACACGGCCTCGTCGTTGTCGTTCACCTCCTTGTGGCACATGCCACACGGATAGATGGGCGGCGCATTGGGATTCTGGGGATTGAAGACCATTGGCTGACCCGGCGGATACATTTTTCCGCCGCCCATGGTCATCGGTTTGGGGCCCACGCCCATGGGGCCGCCCATCGGCCCACCGGGGCCCATTGGTCCCATGCTACCCATCGGTCCGCCGGGGCCCATTGGACCGCCTCCGCCGCCTCCAAACATATTCGGTCCGGGTCCGCCCATCGGATTGTGGTGGTGCGGGTGCGGGTGTCCGTGGTGCGGGGACATGTGCGGGTGCGGTGGTCCGTTCATGCCACCGGGTCCGGGTCCTGGTCCCGCCACTCCGCCCATGTGGCCGTGACCCATGTGCGGGCCCGCGTTCCCGTGAGGTCCGCCCATTAGGTGCGGATTCGGTCCGCCGCCCATGTGAAGCGGCATGCCACCTGGTCCGCCGTGCATACCGGGCCCGCCCATCATGTGCGGCGGTGGTCCACCGGGATGATGGTGCGCATGGGGATGCGGGTGGTTCATCATCTGCGGATGCGGGGGACCGAGATGCGAGGGCTGCTGCGGTGGCAGCATTTGGTTCATTCCCATGCCGGACATTGGCCCGGGTCCGGGTCCGTGGCCAGGTGGGACTCCGCCCATGTGCTGCTGGTGCTGCATAGGAACTGCGTTCTGGTTCATCTGGCCCATCATGGGTCCGTTGTTGTTACTGTTGTTGTTGTTGTTCGGACCATTGGGACCGGCGGGCGACTGCAGCGGACTGGGTCCGGAGTTGGGCATGCCCGGACTGGGGCCGGCGCTGTTCAGCGAGTGGTGCGGTGACATGGCGGGCGGCGCTGGCGAGGATGTAGGCACTGACGTGGACATCGACGTGGCCGTCGACGTGGGCGTGAGCGTGGGAGTGGCGGGCGAGGGTACCGAGGAGGAGGCCACCGATACCGAGGGTCCATTCGACTGCATCGACGTCGGCACTCCCAGGCGTCCGGCAGCCGGTGAGAGGTGAGGATTTTGATTGTTGTTGCTGGCGTTGTTTGTATTGCTTCCGTTGTTGTTGCTGCCGCCGGGATTCAATCCTCCAGGATTGTTGCTATGCGCGGGGGAGATGCCACCGGGACCGACGAGGCCGCCGGGCCCAGGACCAGGGCCTGGAATAGGTCCTCCGGGCATATGACTGCCGTGGCCTGTGGGTCCATTGCCTAGCGGACTGTGCAGTGGAGGCGGGCCCATCTGCCCGTTGTTCATCGGTGGCTGCGGAGGTTGTTGTTGCTGCTGCTGCTGTTGTGGGCCGCCGGGATTTCCAGGACCAGGTCCCGAAGGCGGACCCAGCGGACTGCCAATCGGATTGCCCATTGGCGAGCCCATGGGCAGCGAGTTCATCGGCGAGTTCTGGCCAGGACCGCCCATCGGAGAGCCCTGCATGGCCCGCGGATTAGGCCCGTTGGGACCACCGCCCATGGGCGACAGACCGCCCATGCCCATGTGATGGGGTGATATGCTGGGGCCGCCCATGCCGCCCATTGGGCTCATGCCGCCCATTCCAGCCATGCCGCCCATGGGACTGCCCATGGGCACGGGTCCTCCGGGGCCTCCAGGCCGTCCGTGGTTCATGTGTGGCGGCAGTCCGACACCTGGTCCCGGTCCCATTTGATGGGGATGCATCGGGCTCATGCCGCGCATCGGCGGTGGACCACCCATGTGCGGATGTGGGCCATGTGGATGGCCCATGGGTCCGCCAGGATGATGCGGGTGCATGTGGGGATGCATATGCGGCGGAGGAGGCGGTCCGCCGCCCATGCCCATGCGGTCCTCCCAGTGCGGATGGCCCCCAGGTCCGCCGCCGCCTCCAAAATGACCACCTCCGGGTCCGCCGCCCATCTGATTCATGGCCGCCATCGCTGCCGAGCTGGACATGGCCGATACCTGGGGGCTGTCGTCGAACGGATTCGAGGCAATAATGGTGTCTCCAAAGCCGCCCATCGGCGGCGGGGGCAGCAGATCCTGCGGCGTCGGTGGCGCCTGCTGCTGCATGGAGTTCGCAGCCGCTGCTGCAGCAGCTGCCGCAGCAGCAGCCGCCGCAGCGGAATTGGCTGCACTAGAGGTTTTTCGCCGCTTCTTCGGATTGCTCGGCGCCGAGATGATGTCCGTCGGAGGCGGCGGCTTGAAGTCGGGCGGACATAGTCCGCCCGCTGGACCCGGCAATCGATATGGCGCCATACCGAGATTGTGGGTCATATTCGAGGTATTCTTCTTCCGAATGGTGGCAGCTTTTCTTCAACGGCGTGGGGCAAGAAATTCGGTTGTTAGCGGCGTCGCCAATCCCGCGCTGGAGATCTCGACGCTGGAGTGGAGGAGTGGGTTTTGGATAGAGCTTGGCCGGAGCTAAGCTGCTAGAGAGCCTTTTGCTGGACCAATTCCAATGGGCTTTAATCGGTGGGTTAAGTAGTGGTTTTGCCGGTTACCCGGCCTGCGATGGCCTGCAATTTGGGTTCCTGTGGGTATAACAAGTTGCAACTGAGTCTTGTGCACTTTCTTGACAAAGGCACCTACTCACCAAGTCATCTCCTAGCCAGGATCGTTGAGAAATTCTGGTTCCCTAGAGCAACTGGCCAAACGGACCAAACCAGGTAAACACTTTCGGCGCAACGAACGGCAACCCCGTTTCTTTTTTGGGGTTGGCAACTCTACGCTGGAAACTCAGCGTCGTGTTGTCTCGTTTCAAAAGCGCCAAGCACCTGCCGCCACTATGTTTTCAACGATTTTCGACTACTACCACTAGGATTACGTATATTTAGCACTCTGCTCACCAGTTTGCCACCGCATTGCACACTGATTTAACCCTTTTAAAGGCGCTTTTTGGCCAGCGCGCTCTTCTTCTTGCCAGCGATTTTATGTCCTCCGCTGCGTTTCCCGTTTTAATTGCAGTGTAGCGTTTAACTGTTGTTTATTTACGGGCTTTTGCTTAGTTTGGGAAGTAAAAACAACCGGCGGTTATTTGCTGGGAGAAAATATATTTGACTTCCCCAGTAATTTTGATCGCCTGTGTTTTTTGGTTGGCTTTTTGTTGATTCGATGGCCGCTACACAGCATCCACTTTTAATTAGCACCGACTTTCAGAGCGGTAAACGCACGGTTTACCGTTACGCGCATTCGGCGGTTCACTGTACCGTTATTCACCAGCAGCACCTTAACCTTTGTTTATTTTGGCAAATTTTTGCGTGCGAAGAAGCGAAATATAAATAATTTTCATCGCAAGTCCGTCAGTGGGACCGTTTGCCAACGACAAGCGAAATGCCGGAATTCCAGCGGCAGTGGCAGTGTGGCCAGAGGGTACAAAGACGCGACGGCTCTCGATTAGTGGTAAATATACAAAATCTAAATGGTTCTAAATGGTAAAAATATGCCCTTTTCCTTTAAATAATTTATGCCATTTCATTTTTTTACTTTAATTAATTATTTTAAAGGCCACTTTTCCTATCGACCATCGATAGACAGCAGTAGCTATCGGCAAACTATCAGTTCTAGGTGACGCTTATTTATTGGCGGAAAAAAGAGTTTAAAATTAGTGAATTTTTGCATATTGGGAAACAGCAGTTAAAATAGCAATGTGGAGCAACTTTGAGGCATCCTCTTTGGAGGACGAGACCATCTCCAATGTGTTCTCCTCGCGGGGAATCTTCCAGATTAGCAGCGAAGAGGAGGTGAGTCCTGATTGACCACCATCCAAAGTTAGTTTGCAAATCTCCTGTTGTTTTTGCTTAAGGTAAACAAATATCCAGATGTTTTGGCCTCCGTTCAATGTGGCAAGATGGTCATTGGCATCGATAAGAGCCTGCTCCTCCTGGAGGACGAACTTGTGGCCAAGTGCAGCTTCCTGGGATTCGGGTCCTCTATCGAGGCCATTGCCATTTCCACCAGTGGCAACCTGATTGTCTGTGGCCTCAGCGACGGCGAGGTTCACGGGGTTTTGGTCAAAGGACTCCTGCTCTTCAGCGTCGCCGTTAATCTGGAGGATGTGAGCCTCACAGGCGGCACCTTTCGGAGCATCCACCAGCTGGAGCAACGGTTCTACTTCACCTGCAAAAATGGCAGCATCTACAGGTGAGGACTCTACAGCTGGTTTCCTTGGAATGCCATTCCTTTTTAAAGCAAACAACGATTGCCCACATTGCTCCTTCAGCACCTTGTATTCATCTGCGAAGTTTCATGTACTTTAAAAACTTAACTTTCCTTTAGCTTTTATTTATTGTATTCTTAGAGTGCCTATTAGGATTGCTCAGACAACTTTCTCTTACATTTTCTAGTTTAAGTGACATTGATGAGGCCAATTTAGAGGCTATGTGCAATGTGACCCTGGCTGAAAACGAAACCACTGCTTGCGAAAAGGCCATTCTCCAGGATGTCACCATCCAGCGCATTTACAAAGGTCGATCCTCGGCCAACGTTGACTGTGCCGTGCTGCTCAAGCAGCTGGTGGCTGTTAACATCAGTGCCCAGAACAATCAGGAGGATCTGGGAGCGAATTCCGGACTGGTTATCACTGGGGATCAGGGCACGTTGAACTTCAAAAGCACTGCCAATGATGTGACCCGCATTAATTTGCCAGCTCACTTTGGCAGTCTCAAGCAGATCTTAAACTTGGAACACTATATGTGAGCGGTTTTGTGCCTTGGGTTGTCCAATGACTTAAACGTTGATAATCCCCCAGAATTGCTCTCACCAATTGTGGCCATTTGCTGGATATTTGTCCCTACACTCGCACAGTTCACATGTGTCAAACCACTGGACAGAAGAGCCTGCTTATCGAGGATCTCCTGGTGATGGAGTGCAGCGAAGAGAACATTGAGCTCCTAATGCTGACCAAACCCACGGAGGAGGGACGCTTCATAAAAATAGTGGAGTATCCATGTAGGATTATAGCACATACAGCTCATGTGATAGGAGATGAATACATTATATTTTCAATTTTCAGCACTTCATGTCAAGAACGAGGTTGAGGTACCAAATCACGCTTGGCTCGTGCGCCAGCCAAAGTGTGCAGTCAATCTGTATTATCTGGCTGCCAAGAAGGTCAACCAGAGCAGCATTCCCTCGGTGGTGGAGATGATGCTCGTTTCGGAGACGGATCCCAGCGATCGTTTCAAAAAGTTAATTGCCAAAGGGCGCCTCGAAGAAGCAGAGGTAATTAAGTAACTCCAATCTTTTAGCCTCATTATCATTATCCGTTTTTTTTTTTAACAGGAATTCGGCAAACAGTTTGAGCTGTGCCTGCAGCCCATCTATGAGGCGAAAGCGAAACGCATTCTGGTCGAGCTGTGCAACTCGAATTCCCAGAAGGAAACGGCCGAGGTCGACAAGAAGTTTCAAAATTTGCTGCAACTACTTTCGCAAGTGGAAAGTAAAGCCTTTATTAAAAGCCACCGCATGATCAACTTGAACTCGCGTCACATCCTTGAGTCCTATCTTCTTGAGGTCAAAAAGAGGCTGAGTTTCGAGGTGAGTTTTGACCAAAGGTTTAATAACAGCCTTAAAAATCATGTAACGTAAAGGATGACGAGGAGGATATGTTGGAAATCGACGAGCAACTGCATCGACTCAAAACGCTGGCCATCATAGATCCCTACGAGTGCAACACGGACTGGCAGAAGTTTGTCTACGACAACAACTTGGTAAGGATGGTCAAATCCCTGTTCAAGACAGACATGCCCACGGCTTGTCTTATTTGGCGACGCCACTCGAGCAGCATCCTTCCGCTGCTAAACGAAGACGAGCTGCGCACACTGCTGGGATTCATTCCGGGCAACACGAAGCCCTTCAACGTAGTCCAGTGGCTGTGCCAGTTCATTCCGATGGTAAGCAACACACATCCCAGCATCATGCCCTGTATTACGGACTGGAGCATCGAGATGACGCGGAATCTGCAGTACAGTCCCCACTGGCCAGATATCGGCCTGGAGTTCTGCACCAAGATTCTGGATATTTTCGAGGAAATTCAGTTCACATACTCGTAAGTAAAGTCCTGTTCTTCTTGAAAATCTTTACTTTAATAATAATTTCAGTGATGTGCGACGACAGCAGGAGCGTAATGTGGGCAAGCTGCGAGACTTGGTCAATGCTCTGCAGGATTTGTCCGTGCTGAAGACCAACTACAACATGGGATTCACACTGGACAACTATATGCAGGACTCAATCGATGCCACGGCCCTGAGCATTCTGCAGCATGTTCAGCTGGACAAGTTGCAGCGGCTGGTGAAGAACTTTATATACCCGATCTTTCAGGAGAAGGGTCGCCAGCCGCTGGACGTGATCAAGCAGTACATAGCCCAGTTGGTGGCCAGTCGCCAGTCGTCCAGCACTTGGCTAGAGCGGGCAATGGCCTGCATTGAGTTGCTGCACAATGAAAATAATCGTTTGGAGTGCGCATTGTCCGTGCTGCAGAACGCACCGGTTCCGTGGCCGGATACACTGGCTCCTCTGATCAAGCTACGCACTTCCACTCACCCCTTGGCCATGAAGATCAACGCTGAGTACGAGATCCAGGTGATCAAGATCATGAAAGTCAAGTACGGCTGGCCGGCCGACAGTTCGGACATCAACCTGGAACTATTCATGATGCGCATCGTGAAACTAAATCTTCCAGACATGCTGGAGGACATCCGCGCACTCACCAAAGCTGCGCCGGACATCTCGGTCAGTGCAAACTTTCACTGTTGCTATCAGATGGCCCGGCGAGGACAAATTGAGCTGGCTTATGAGTTCTTCAAGACGCTCAATGTGGGAAAGAACTCGAACAACGGAGTGGATGTTGTGGAAACCATTGCCAATCTCCTGGAGAACAGTTCGTCTGAATCTTTTGAGGATGAGATCAAGGTGCAGGAACATCTGAATGTCTTGGAGCTCTTCAAGTTGTTCTTGCCTCACGTGGAGTCCGTTTACGAGCGACGCTACCTAATCATCAAGCATCGCTTCCGTCTGCGGAAGTTTGGCATCCAGCTGAAGTGCAGCAACGAACTCATACCGCTGCAAAGGCGTCATGGCCTCCTGGACGAGGCCATCGAACGGATAATCGAGCGGGCCCAGGCCACACTGAGTGTGCCCGCCTTTATAGCCAGCGAAATGAGTGAACTCTGTACGGCTCTTAGTCTGTCCAAGGTGTTTGGCCTGCACCGCATTTGCCAGCGAATTGGTTGCATGCCCCTCAGCTGCGCCCTGGCCTACTACGTGATTAACTTTGTCGACTGTGAACCCTCCAATGCCAGCGAGTTTATAAACCTAGCACTCGAACTGGTGATCCAGCAAATCGAAAACGCCAAGGGCAGTAATCAGGGTGAGTCTCCTTGTATAATTCTAATTGAATGGATATCAGGAAAACCAGTTTTCATTATCATTAAATTAAGTAATGCTAAATAATATATTAATTTTAAAAAAGTAACACTAATTAAAGAAAAATTACTTTTGAGAAATGAATTTTTTTAGATTATTTTTCATTTATGTTGTAATGGTAATAAAAACTTGTTTAACTTGACTTAAAAATTATAAACACATGCAAAATAGAGCTAATGGCATGCAAAATGTAAGTCGTAACAAACAATACTTGTTTTATGAGTTTTTGCAACATCCTTGCTAGCAATGGCAATCCTATTGTTTTCCGTGAAACAAAAATTTTCAAAATTTGCATTATCGTATCCATTGATTTCTTTTTTAATGTTGCATTATCCAGAAACAGCATCGTCGCTGCTGTTGATCAATGAAAGCGATCCCCTTTGCTTTCCTTTGGCTCACGAGTTGCTCACATGCGCCCTGCTCCATGAGAGCAGTCGTCGTCGCGATCTCGTTGATCTCATCAAGTACATACGCGTGGCTATAATGCACTATCCATTGAATGCCATCAAGACGCACTACGATGGCAGGGAACAGGCCATCAACGAGCACATTTGTCGGGCTCTCGATGGGATTTCGGAAGCCCTGGGCGAAACAACTTTGAATTTCAGCAGCGCTCTCAATGGCTCTTTCGACGTGAAGTCCCTTCAGGTGCCGATAGCCACGAAGAAGCGCTATTCGGTGTCCATGTTTGACGAGGTGGAGGTGCAACCTGTCCAGCAAACGCAGCAGAAGGTGTGCTTTTAAGTTAAAGTCTTAAAAAATAACTCTTAAACGCCTTTAATATTTTTCAAGCAGAAGAGCATGGGCGGTCACCTGGCAGTTGTGAAGTTTCTGGCCCGCACTCTTTTGCTTATGGTGATCGAGACGGAGCCGAGCAACTCCCTTCTGATGCAGGTTCGCCATGGATTGGCCGAGAACATCAAGGCGGACCTCGACAGCGCACGGGCAGACTTCTTTTTGTCGCTGGAACACCTAAACAAAGCCAAGGAGCACGACGTGTGGTACGTGATGTCGCAGTATCTGCTGGAGTTCCAAAAGCAGAACTGCCGAAAGAAGCGGATAATCAACGAGGGCTTCATTACGCTGCAGCTGCGCCGTATATTCCGCAATGCGATGGGCTGCAAGGATCCAAACTTCTTGGAGCTCTTCACCATGCTCGTGGTGGACAGTGAAGGGCTGGCTCTGCTCGAAAAGCTGTCCACGGAGGTAAAGACGGATCTGCAAAAAATCAACTTCTTAACATTGTCCGCCATGTACCACGAGCACATAGAGGAGTTGGACACCGTTAAAATGATACGCGCAAAGTAAGTAGAACATAACGATTTCATAAATTCTTTTGTTCATATTTTCCATTTTCTCAGACGCTTGAAACTCTACTACTACTTGGAGTTCTGCCAGCAGGATCCCAGAATCAAAGGGAAGTTCAATGCAGATATGGACAACGTGGAGGACCTGCTGAAGGAGTTCCACAACAAACAGCTGGATGTGCAGCTATTGGAACGCATGAGCAAGGACTTTGGCTTCGACTACCAGAAAATTCTCATCACCCAGATCCTAAGCATCCTTAGTGCCCAGGAGTTGCGTTTCGAGGTCAAGAGAAATACGTTTGGGGAAGAAGAACTGGTTATGCTGAGTAGCGCCCAAGAAATGCGCGATATGTGCCAGCCGTACATTAATGAGATCAAGAACGTGGAGCTCTTCACCCTCAAGCTAAAAAAGTTCATTGAGGACGTGAGTTTAATTGGTTCATTGATTGAAGACGATATCTTACTTTGTTTTTATTTAGATAAACATTTATTTCTACGAGTTATACATGTGTGTGATCAACATACTAATGTTTTTTGATGCGGCGCCCAAAGAAATGGAGATCTGGACCAATATTCTTCACTTTCTGCGGCACAAGATGATCACCAGGAGACGGAATCGTCCGGGTCAGGTCGAGACAGACATGTGGCTCAAATCGCAAAGGGAAAATGGCGTCATGCCGAAGATATCGCGCTACCGTCTGCCTTTCAAGCCCATCGTTGAGCAACCTCTAAAGGATATTCTTGGTAAGTTCAGTTTTTATTAAGGAAATTAGAATAAAAACTCTGATTTACTTTAATCAGACAGCGAACTAAACGTGGACAACTGTCAGAGTTGGTTTCCGCTGATACAGATGTACACGGCCTTGAAGGGGTCCAAAGATAGTTCTCCGAACTGCGACTACTTCTGCATGTCGGCAGTGAAGAATTCGATTTCAGAGTACAAGTCGAAAAGTGAGTCAGAGACCTGGAGTCTGAATCCCACAAACAATGCGTTCCTGCAGTCAATTCTGCGACTGGTCGAAAATGTGCACAACCCCAACAAGGCATTCCTCATCCTGTACTTTGTGTCCAACTATGCTCGCGATGGAGCCGACCAAGTGGAAGCCTCCTACGAGTGCTGGAAGTTCGCCATGGATAAGGGCCACCTGATCAACGATCCCAAAAGTCGCGAGCAGGTGGCCAAGGTGAAGCGGCGATATCCCATCCAAAAGACCCAACACCTGCTGTACGTCTACGGCATGACCGATGAGAAGCTGTTGCGCCTGGTGGAGAATCCCAGCGAGCTAATACATGGCCTCTACCACCATGAGTTGATCCTCAAGTCCAGCAAAGTGGACATTAACGCCCTCGTCGCTGAGATTGCCAAGCTGCACGACCTCTGCCTGGCCACCATCCAGTTCCGACTGCTGCAGAAGTGGCTTTCGGTGACCATGGAGCCGGCGGATGGCACCATACTGGAGGAGACGTTCATGGAGGAGCAGAACTGGCCGGAGCAAGCGAACGGCGCAGATGGCGCCAGCAGCCAGGATGCCAGCGAGAATGTGAACAGGGCCTTCTACATACTCTCCAGTTGGCCAAAGGCGGAGGCGGTTAAATTCCTTGTGGGTTTGATCTTCAGGGATGGGTAAGGATTGATCTTTTAGTTGATAAACTGGAAAAATGGCTTATACTCCCCATAGCTCTGTGAACACCACCACCCAGCTGCAGATGTACGAGTGCTATTCCAAGCTGAACGACGGCAGCAACTCATTCACCAACACAATTAACCAGCGCCAGTTCATCAGCATCAAGTGTGTGCACGAGCTGAAGGCTCTGGGCTACAAGACGAATTTGGAGAAGTTCTCCGACGATAATTCCAATAAGATTGATATCTTGAAGATGATCTGGCAGCGCAATGCGCAGAACCCTCTATCCCTGGAGGTGATGGCCAACATATGTCTGGGCTTTGATATACACCTCCCGCAGATCTGGAATGGCATCCTCAAGCGCATGGTCAGGTTTCACATGGTGCGCGAATTGAACGCCCTGTTGGATGTACTCAGCTGCCGACCGCACTTGCTCCATCTGGATGGACTAGCCCAGGCCTGGGATTATGTGCTCTGCAATCCCCTGAAAAACGCCGTGGAGACGCGCTCTTTCGAGCAGGAGGAGCTGCTGCACAAGACGCTGCTGCGACTGCAGGGCTGTCCGGTCGTGCATGCCCTGAATCTGCTGCAGTTCGCCGAGCACTGCGTCCTGGTTCACCGACCACACATGGCCGCTGCCCTTCTGAGTTTTTGCCAAAGCTCCGAACAGCGGCAGAAAATCAAAAAGGTTTGTTTGAATACATTGTATAAGTTTAGACCTTAATTTTCATCTGCTTTTAGATGATACGTTCCCATCCGGTGGACAACCTTCGGCAGCAGATACTGGATCTGGAAGATGCCGGTCTGCTGCCGGTGGTACTGAATTTTGCCCTTAAAGAATTAAACCTCTAAGCCATTTTTTAATTACCCTTGGTCTATTCAAATAAACAAAATGATATGGTAAATTGTTTTGAATTGAAAATAGTTTGTTGTCGCTCAAAAATGTGTAATTAATTACGGAAATCACTGCAAATGAAAAGTATTTTTAGAGAAAAATATGGTATTTCCCTGATTGGCCGATTAAGCAGTTAAAAACATTTGTTTGCTAATACCTTTGGTAAAAATCGTGTTGTTTTAGTAATGTCATATGCGATTAACGATGATTTCTATATCAGGTTTTTCTAATATACTACACACATTTTAACCAGTATAATTCCTTAAATACCCAATTTATTTTTTTTTATTATTCCTTATATAAATCTTTGAAATTAAAAGTGTAAATTTAAAAGTAAAAGGCTATGGGACTCCAAATACAGATTTTAAATTAACAACCAATGCGTTGACGTCATATATATTTATCGCCTTTAACGCTGCGCGATGACGTCATATTCTTGTATCGCTTTAAACGCTACAGTGGGCACAATAGGACTAATGCTCGGTAGGCTGCGGGTCAAAAATACTTGCTTAATAGACAAACTAACTTTGATACATAATTGAAATCAAGAACCATCCTTAAATATCTTTTCGTGCAGGTCTTATTATTTTCAAAGGAGTACATAATATAATAAATAATAATAATAAATAAATGACAAGAACTTCTTATGAAATGGGCTTCTAAATTTAAATTATTTATTAAAAGTTTTATTATTTTTCTACAAATTGTTGTGCAGTCTGATATTTAGTATTTTGCGGTCCACTGTGCCAACCAGCTGTTTTGGGGACCAGCTGATATTAGTTGGGGTCAAATCGCAGACAGGTTGCACACAAAACGTTAAAGTTGAAAGAAAAGTTTAAAATTAAATAAAACCAAGATGCTGCGTTCTTTGTTGGGTGCCCAAAAGTGCTGGAACCCAATCCGCAGCAATAATCTTATGACGGTGGTCAACAAACAGGTGCCATCTTCCTTTGCAATGTGCAAGTCAGTATAACAAATAAAATCTCTATGATGGGATTTATTATATAGAATGTATCTGTATCCAACTTCAACAGACGACACTTCTCACCGCCCACACACATTAAACAATCAGCGGTGCCCAATGAATCCGGAACTATGGCAGAAAGTAAGTTTTTTTATTTCCCTGAATGCAGTCATATATGTATGTATATCTATATTAATAAATGTACCACTCCCCCAGTTAAGCAGGAGATGATGAAACGACTGGGCCTGGAACCGGGCTACAATCCCCTGCCCAAATCCAGGGAGCAGCTGCTCAAGTACCAACCCAAGCTGGAGGATCTGGCGCCAAGAGCCATGCAGGATTCCTTTACCTCGGCCATCATTCCCTTAAGCACAGATCGTACCTTGCAGGACAAATATGTGACGTTTTTGGGCAACGTGCGATTGGGCAGGCTGCTGGAGGACATGGACATGTTTGCAGGTAGCAGATTTCTAATTGTAGTTGTGTCACATTTATTGATGAGATCCAAATCCCCAGCTTGGTGCTGCCACAAGCATTTGAAACTACCCAATCTGCCGGAGGGAGTTCACCTTCCCTACACCTTTGTCACCATTCTTGTGGACCGCATCGATTTCACGAACGTTCTGGCCTCGGGCACCCAGGACATCCGTCTGTCCGGTCACGTCTCCTGGGTGGGCACCAGTTCCATTGAGGTGGTGGTGTGGCTGGAGCAGATGGTGGCCGGAAGGTACCAGAAGCTCACCCGGGCTTTGTTTCTTATGGCGGCCAGGAATGCCACCAACACGGGAGCAGCTCCTGTGAATCCCATACAACCAGCCAATGAGGAGGAGCAGTTAATCCTGGCCGGCGGCGCAGATAGGAAGAAACAGCGCCAGATTCTCTGCGCACAGTCCGTTTTTAAAGTGGAACCCAATGACCCCGAGCAGACGCTCATGTACGAACTGTACAAGAGGACCACGCCGCGCAACACTTTGGAGTTGAACAAGCGCATCCTGCCGCCCAACTGCCGCTGGATGGAGGACTCCTTCCAGATGAGCACGATCCCCTCGTTTCCGGAGCACAGGAACCACCACAACCGAGTCTTCGGGGGCTTCCTCATGCGCAGCGCCCTGGAGATTAGCTGGGCAGCAGCCTTCCTCTACTGCAAGACGCGGCCAAAACTGGAGCACATCTCGGACATCAGTTTCGAGAAGCCCGTGAGCGTGGACAGCTTCATCAAGATGACCGCCTATGTTGTGTATACCAAGCTGAACTACGTGCAGATCATGACCGTGGCCGATGTACTGGATACGCACACGGGCAGCCAGGTTACCACCAACACGTTCTACTACACCTTTTCGGCTCCGGACACGGTCACTGAGATCCTGCCACGCTCCTACCACGAAACCATGTGGTACATCCAAGGACGTCGGAAGTTCGAGGCCAGCATGGGCTTGAAATAGATGCTGGAATAATATTCCTATGATATTATGCGAGGCTACCCTACGAGATGAATGATATTACCCGTTCTGTGTTTATAAACAGCAATAAATGTATATTGTCTAATTATGTGCTTAACAAGTTTACTAACTTTTTGTTTCTTGTAAGCCTCAGCAGATGCTACTGCAACTGTGTTTAATATCTGATATGAAATAGGAATAATTCACATATTTTTTCGATTTTGATTAATACCGTAAAATTGATTGTTTAGAAATATTTGTAAAGTGTATGGCAACAAAACAAAACAAAAAATATCGAATTGGAACCAAAATAATTTTTTATATTTCAATTCCGTTCCGGATCTGGAATCAGATCGAAAAACCGTTTGACAGGGCCCTGGTTTTCAATGTATTAAAACCTAAATGCTGGCCTCATTATTTGGTACCGGAAGTTGCCGGATCTTCCTTAAGGCCAAAAACCTCTTGCAGGTGGCTATCAAAAAGTCTAGGTGAGTAGCCAATAGATTAGACCGAACAGTTTTACATTACCTGAGAAATCTATTTTCCAGCCACATCCAAAATTCGGCGGTGGCCAATAAATCCGGCACTATGGCAGAGGGTAAGTACACAGGTTTTCACTAACCTACGACTAATACTTGTTTCCTTCTTCAGTCAAGATGGAGATGTTGAAGCGTTTTGGCTTAGAACCTGGCTATATCCGGGAGCCAAAATCTAGAGAGAAGCTCCTTGAGTTCCAACCCAAGATGGAGGACCTACCAGCAAGATCTATGCAGGATTCCTTTTCTTGTGCCATTATCCCTTTGAGCACGGATCCCGTGTTGCAGGACAAGTACATCAATTTCATGGGCTTCGTGCGCCTTGGCAGGCTCCTGGAGGACATGGACTTCTTTGCTGGTAATCTCTAGTTCTGAGAAAAGCCTTAGCCTAGCCCTTATCCCCCCCAGCTTGGTGCTGCCACCAGCACCTGAAACTGCCCAATCTTCCGGAGGGAGTGCCTCTGCCCTACTCCATAGTGACCATCCTGGTGGACCGCATCGATTTCACCAATGTCCAGGCATCGGGCACCCAGGACATCCGTCTATCCGGTCACGTCTCCTGGGTGGGCACCAGTTCCATGGAGGTGGTCGTGTGGCTGGAGCAGATCGTCGATGAAGAGTACCAAAAGCTCACCCGGGCTTTGTTTCTGATGGGGGGCAGGAATGCCACCAATACGGGAGCAGCCCCTGTGAATCCCATACAGCCGGCCAATGAGGAGGAGCAGGTGATCCTGGCGGGCGGTGCAGATAGGAAGAAGCAACGTCAGGTGCTTAGTGCTCAGTCCGTCTTCAAGGTGGAACCCAATGCCCAGGAGGAGTCGCTCATGTACGAACTGTACAAGAGGACCACTCCACGGCACACTTTGGAGCTGAACAAGCGCATTCTGCCGCCCAACTGTCGCTGGATGGAGGACTCCTTCCAGATGAGCACGATTCTCTCGTTTCCGGAACACAGGAATAACCACAACCGGGTCTTCGGTGGGTTCCTTATGCGAAGTGCCCTGGAGATTAGCTGGACAGCCGCTTTTCTCTTCTGCAAGAGTCGACCCAAACTGAAGCACATTTCGGACGTTAGTTTCGTGAAGCCCATAAGCGTGGATAGCTTCATCAGGATGACCGCCTACGTGGTGTACACCAAGCTGAACTGCATACAAATTATGACCGTTGCTGATGTGTTGGACCCGTACACGGGCAACCAGGTGACCACCAACGTGTTCAACTACACATTCTGGGCTCCGGATGCGGTCTCTGAGGTGCTACCTCGATCCTACAACGAGACCATGTGGTATATCCATGGCCGCCGGAAGTTTAAAGCCAGCAGGGATTTAAATTCATAAAATTAACAGTCAAATTAGTTTAAATTTAAAGTAATAAAGAGCTATTGTATGAATTTTGTATAAGTTTCAAGAAATTTGAAGCTCAATATTTTTTTGGGTTCGAAATTTTGCAAAACCCAGCCTTGATCCAGACCACGACCTCAAGATTGACCATTGAAAAAAGATTTCAAGGTGGTACACTCCTAAAATGTTTGTGTTTTAAGTTTATTAAACATTTGTTAATTTTAAGATAAGATTTTTGAAAACAAAAATTATTTAAAAAGAGGAAAGGAGTTATTAATCTTAGCTGTAACCGAAAAAATGATTATGTACTAATTATTCATTAGGTACATGTACATCATCCATAATTTCGTGGAGATCATGACCATTCCCAATGTGCTGGAAACGCACATGATTGCTCACCCTTACACCCACTTTTCTAGATTAGATTGGAGCCCATATTGATACACAAAAGCATAATGATTTGGGTAAAACAATTCGTCTAATCCTCTCATACAATTAACTATAAAATTTTCCATATCACCATTTGTCTGGCCATCTTTACACCTCCTCTTCAGATTAGATTGTATTTTAGATTGATACACAGAAAAAATTAAGAAATGCTTAAACAAGAAAATTAAATTTTTTTATGTATCTATATAAAATTAAATATTATAACTATTATTTTCTAAATAAGGTATTAATACTTCAAATCAAAAGAAAACACTAAAAATTATTATTTTTATTTTAAAGTAGTGCAGATTTTTTTTTTCGTTCTTAACATTTTTATGTTTTTAAAACTTATTGAATTGAATTTATTATTCGATCTATTAACCTTTATCACTATTTATTTTTTTTTTTTTTTTAACCTCTCCTAAAAGGCAAATAACGTCGGATTAAAGCTTCGTTTGGTTTTAAAATATTTTCAGACAATATGAGAAATGATTTAAATGTAATCAAAATGAACTGATCACCCTTTTTCCGAGTGGAAGACAAGTACCTCTCACCAAGTGGACAGGTGATCGTCATGCGCGGGTTCTCAGCTGGCTTCTCAGCCATGTAATCGCACTTTAGCGGAAGATTTGCCAGCACTCTTTTCGGTTCTCGAATCACTCTCTATTTTGCAGTCCAAGTGACAGCACTCAAATGCAAATTCAATTGAACTGAACTGTATTACGTATTAGAAATCGGAATTTCCCATCGGTTCCCAGTAGGCGGGTCAACTAGCTCCAAATTTCAACGCGGAACACCCGGAATGATGCTGTGTCAGGTGGCCCGTGGACTTGGAACGGTGCTGGCGAGGAGGTGCCACTGTTCGACTGCCCGGGAGAGGCGTCTGGTGACCTTAATATGCCAGATGCCCAGGAGGAGCTTCTCGATGGACAAGGGGCCCAAGATATCATCGGATCATCACTCTGGCACAATGGATGATGGTGAGTTAAGATCTAAATCTACATAGATGCTAAACCCTCTTAAACACTAGTGACTCGCACTATTCGCGATCAGTCCGGCGTGGATTTGGGCTACCACACTATTCCCAAGCCCCGGGATCACCTCCTGCAGCACCAGCCTAAACGGGAAGATCTGCCGCCCAGAACCATGTCGGATTCCCACACCACTGCCGTCCTACCCCTCAGCTCCAGTGAGTCGATCCGCGAGAGCTATGTGAATCACCTGGGCAGGGTGAGATTGGGCAGGATTATGGAGGAACTAGACATGTTCGCCGTGTGGATGTGCCATCGCCATGTGAAGCTACCCAAGTTGCCCAAAGGGGTGCCACTGCCCTACACCTTTGTCACGCTGCTGGTGGACAAAGTGGAGTTCACCAATCTGGAGCGGTTGCAGGTCAACCAGGACATTGAGATCAGCGGGCACATCTCTTGGGCAGGACGCAGCTCCATGGAGATCACCATCTATGTGAAGCAGTTGGCCTATGGCGAGTACATCGATGTGACCAAGGCCATCTTTCTGATGGTAGCCAGAAATGCCACAAATACGGGACCTGCACCCATTAATCCTCTGGAGGTAGGTGATGCCACAGAGGAACTCATATGGGAGCAGGCGGAGAAGCGGCAGAAGCTGCGCAAATCCTCGGCCATGGAGTCCGTATTCAATTCCCCACCCAGGGAGCACGAGCAGACCATTATGTACGACATCCTTAAGAGAACCACGCCGATGAACAGCATGGATCTGAACAAGCGCGTGCTGCCGCCGAAATGCCGCTGGATGGAGGACTCCCTGCAGACAACGATGATTGCTCCGTTTCCGGAGAACCGAAATGCCCAGAACACCATCTTTGGGGGCTATCTAATGCGCCAGGCCGTCGAGATCAGCTTCATTACGGCCAGCATCTACCTGGGCGATCGGCCCATCCTTAAGTGCATCTCGGACATCAGCTTTATGCACCCGGTGCATGTCAACAAGTTCCTCCAGCTCACCGCCTACGTGGTCTATGCCGCCCAGAACTACATCCAGCTGATGACAGTGGCCCAGATTTGGGACGCCAAGAGTGGCAAGGTCCAGACCACCAATGTCTTCTACTTGACCTACCGCGCGGACAAGGTTCTGGATGAAGTGCTTCCGCGCTCCTACCGCGAAATGTTGTGGTATGTCCACGGCAGGAGGAAACTACTTGCCGCCCTCAATCTGCAGCCAGAGTACCCCGATCCCATCACGGTGCCCAAGGAGAGCTCAAACAGTATATCTACTTAGTGTTAATACATGCACTTAGATAAGCTCAAGGTGTAATTTAGTTTTTTTGTATTATGTTGCCCTATTTATAGAATGTATAATTTTTATCCGACCTATTAAGTTCAAATAAAACTTGATGGAATGTCGACTTCTAAGTTCATTTTTCCACATCTGGATTTAAAAAATCTTTATATACGTTCATCTACCCTGTCCTAATTCTAAAAATTTATTTTACGGTTTATAATATTTAGCTGAACTGTTTATTTAACTTTTTCAGGTTTTATAGCTCACTTATTAGGTTTTTACTGAAATCCAATTTTAACTAACAGTTTTTAAGATTAAAATACGAAGTTCAAAGTTCCGTTCTTGTTTCAAAATCTTGTCCTATCTAATTTTCAATAATCTGTAGTATATATTTCATTTTAATTACAGTCATTCCATAGTGGTATTTAGTTTTGATCAATTTTTATAGTTTAACATGGAAAACAAATAACACTTGGCACGACTAGCCTTTTTAATATTAAAGTCTGATCATTTAAGCGACTAAGAAATTCAATAAATCCAGTGTGGTCAAATGAATTAACGTAGTATGTGCCAAATCTTGTAGATTATTAGAGTTATCGGCAAATTCTAGTCGGTAAAATTCAATTCACTAAGACTACTATATGCCAAAAAAAAGGGTAGACCTTCAGAGTTTTCCGTTTTGTAAGGTTTATTTTACAAATCCTGTTTGTCTAACCAGCGGGCGCGCTTGTACAAAGTGTTTTGCTTTTAAAAATCCTTAAACTGAAGACCCAGATCCGCCGCTTAGAATCGCATGCGGTGGGGGTATTGGGAGGAGTGCAGGGCGAACATGTTCTGCAAGTACTTGGCAAAGAACTTGCCCTCGGGGTGGGCCTTGATCACCTTCAGCAGGGCGGAGTCCACCTCCTTCTGGTCCTTCTTGCGCTGCTCGTTGGGCACGAAGCGCTCCTTCTTGGCCGCGAAAATGTCGGCCTCGCCGCTCTTCTTGTCCTTCTTGGCCTTCAGGCGACGGAAGTAGGCGTCGTTCAGATGCTCGGGCACCTTGAAGGTACCCAGATCCACCTTCGAAGAGGTGCCGATCACGTAGCGCTGGGAAACGCGACGCAGCGGGCACGAGTTGAGAGCGAAGGGTCCGGTGACCAGCAGCAGTCCGGAGGCCAAGACCTTAAGCAGGACGACGCGCTTGCCCTGGTGGCGACCAGCCAGCAGGATTAGCACGGTTCCGGGCGTCAGGTTGCGGCGCGTGTTACGCTTGTGCTCGCTGAAGTTGGCCTTGGAGGGGCGCTTCTTCACGAACGTCTTGGTCGGGTAGGTGGCCTTCGACTTGTTCAGGAAGACGGTGCGCTCGCCTCCGTTCTTGGGGCCTCCGATCTTCTTCACCTTCTTGATAGGCACCTTCACCTTCTGCACGACGGGGCTCTTCTTGTCCTTCAGGCGGTACAGGGCACGACGCTTGTACATCTGCAAAAAAGGGAGAAATGGGGTTATTCATTTTTGGATTTAAGTCTGTGTAGGTACTCTTGATAGAATCTATCTGAGTTTTCAATATTTATACGTGAACTTGGAGCATTATGTTTTAAAGTAATTTGGATACCCTTACATGGTTTATTCATAGATTTTTCACTTGTTGTTTTGAGATAGTCTAAAATAAGAGTAAGTTAATTCCCATTTTTAATGGGAGAGTAAACAATTGAACATGGGTTTATTAATCTTCAATTTGTTTTGATTATTTATACGCGGATTATTTAGGGGCCATTAAATTTTGATTTCAATTGGGTAGCCTTGTTACACATTAATGTTTACGTGGTTAATTTATAGATTTTTAACTTGTTGCTATGGGATAGTATTAGATATAAGGAATTGCTTCGCATTTTGACGACAGTTTACGTACGCAATTTACAAAAATAAGAATGAACCACGAAACCAAATTTTCGAAAAGTTTATAGAACGTCTTAGGATATATCCCTGCGCATTGAAATAACACCAAATATATATCCGATCGAAGGCTACTCCATGGAAACGAGCACTATAGGAAAACCACGCTGTGCCTCTTCTTCAGGTGGAGGCGTCACAGCGCTAAGAGGAGATTTTCCCACCAATTTCCGGCCGTATTTACCTGGGCCTTGGAGTAACGCAGAATGCCGCCCTTCAGGTAGGAGTTGACGGGGTGCTTCTTGCCCTTTTTGGCCGATTTGGCCACCTTTTTAGCTTTCTCGACGGGTGCCATTGTAAAACACGTGTACACAGCACAAAAATTATTGGAAAAGGAAGGTTATGTGCTAGAGCTGGAACTGGAGCTGTCAAAATATCGATGTTCCTCGCGATAGTATCGATAACTGAGCAATGGGTGCCGGTCAACGATTGTATTGGATTATCACGACATCGATTTTTATAACAGTGGGAAATAATAAAACGTGACATATTTATTATGCTTTTATTTGCTAAAAAAATTGATTTATTTGAATATCTGAAACTCAAAAAAAAATTTTGTTAAATTTTTCCCTTAAAATAATTATTGTTTAGCGATACTATCGCAAAAGTACAGATGTTAACAAAACATATTACAAAACATTGATGGAGTCACTACGTTTTCGTGCTACCAAGATAGTTTGGTATTGGTATTGGTATTCCTATAGTTATAATTCTCTATTTCAGATAGCAAATAAATATAATCAACCTGCCTTTAGGATTACTTTAGTTTAAACAGTTTTAGCAATTTTATTGGCTTAAAACTATGAGCATTTAGAAAATGGAATAAGGCAAACCTTGTAAAGAAACGCCAAAGAATGTCTTTTAAAATTTGTTATAGCCTGATTCCATTGCCGCATTAGTGGACTTTTTAAATGTGCCTGATTCCATTGGCGCATTAGCATTTAGTTAATGCTACTCCGACATGTGAGTGGCACGAACAGCTGATCTGGGCTTGTTTACTTTTAAATTTTGGCAAATACAAAAGAAATTAATTAAAATTAATGAACATGAGTGAGTTTACTAAACTCTGTAATGCTCAGCAGGACATCCATATTGCGACCGAGACATTTGCCAACTTGAACGACAAAGAAGAGAAGCTGATTGCGTTGTTATGACGGGTTTGCAATGGAGGCTACCTCAGTTTCTAAAAAAGGCAAGGATCCCCGTAAATGTGGAAGTAATTTTATGTCAGAGATCCAGCAATAAAGCATTGTGGTACTGCAAGCAGAATTTGCAGCGTGCGCTCTAGGTTTCAGTCATTTTTTTACAAAATAGATTTTATATTCAAAAGACATCAAAAATTGCGCCAACCTTGCTTATAGAAAACAGCTGTTGTAGTGGTGGCACGAACAAAATATCGTTAAACATCGGTATTTTCCAGTATTTTTTCTAAAAACTTTCGGGGCGAATGGTTTTTAATCGCATTTAAAAATCGCATTTATTTTAAATGCGGCATTTAGCCTTATGGGATTCCCTGTGTAAATAAATGCGCATTTGGCTAAATGCGTTTTAATGCGGCAATGGAATCAGGCTATTAGACATACAAAAGGTTTGGTACACAGTTAGCGCGGTTTCAAACCATTGAGAATAAAACAAATAATAAAAACTGGGCAGCACTGGCAGCGTTTAAAGTCTTAAATAATTTAATATAAGGATACAGAAAAAGGAAAATTATAAAATGAATGCAGTGAGCAAATTCATTACAAATTTAGCGCTGTTCCAAACCATTCAAGGTTGTAATAGAATGAAATATGTGGCAGCACTGGCAACGTTTCTTTAAACGTTATCTTAAGTTTAAAACGTAAAACAATTCAATAATAATTTGTAAAAGTTACATTTTTGATATTGTATAGTTTGCACACAACTTGAAGATTTTGAAAAGGAATATGATGCATTAAAAATCAATTTCCGTACGTTTTTTGATGTTGATTTACTAATAAACTAAAAAAGGTTTACCCGAAGAATGCAGACAAATATATTCAAAACCTGACGCAAAAAAAATGTTGTTCAATTCAATTTATAACGGCATACACATTTTAAATAGATCTTTCTTAAATTCCCCCAGAAACTCCAAAATAAGACACCTTTTTCCATTTACCATTTAATAATACTTTTTTTTCCATTTATTTGTTGTAATGTGTGTACAATGATTAAAATCACGAGTTTCAGCTGTTTTTAAACAGCTTGTTTCATTTTTTCTTTACACAATGATCCATTTTGCTTAAGAATGATTCTGGTGGACACCTAAAATATAGTCTAATTGTTAATTACAGGATGTAATTGCTAATAAATTAAAATGAGTGGTTCGTCATGTACAAAATGAATTCACTTCTCGTCGTAACTAATCCTAAGTAACTAAACCTCAACCGAATATAAGCTCAAACTTCTCGATGGGAAATGAGTCATCAAGTAATGATTAAAATTAAAGATACTTTACAATAATTGAGATTTTCAATGTTGATTTATGATGTTAATCCTTGCAAATATTTAACTAACTCCGCGCTAAATACAATGTAAAATTTGCTAGTTGTTAAAATTATGAAATCTCAGCCTGTGGCAGTCGATGGTAGAAAAACTTAGTTCTAGAGTTCTTTTCACCGCTTTCACCTTTCTCTTACGCTTAATCGCTTATTTGTCAATTGCCTCTTTTACAAGTTGGACAAAGCTAAAAACGTGTTTTTTCGCCACTGAACACATGATCTTCTGTCGCTTAAATTACTTAATTGTTTTCCATTTCACTTTAACGTACGACTGTGTGTTAACATTGTTTTCGGATTATTACAGAATTGATCTTTTGGCTGGGAAGGTTGCTAAATTACAAAATCTATTGCACAATTGTTAAAGATCGAGAGTCTTTGAATATTTACAGCAAAATCGCCCGCATTTATTTACAATTGCCATGAGCTGGGGATTCTGGGGATTATGCAAATGGTGATGGTGTACTCACATTTTGCCGGAGTCGCCGCTGCACTGCATCAAAAACAAATAAAACAGGCGAGTTTGTTGTAAATATTCATGAAAACCGAATGCCCCTGTGGCGGGCAAACGCATTTTATTAAATTTTACAGACAAGAGTTTGCACATTCCTCTGCCAAAAGGTTTAAAGAAATGAAACGTATCTGAATTTGCGAATTTCAATTGTTTTTATGCTTTGCGTTAG